AAACTGTTCTTACTGGTTTTAAGTCGCCCGAAGCAGTTGCTGAGTGTGTACAGGTTTATCACATTGATGGCTTTTCTTCTTTATTTTAACAGTCGTTCAAAGTCCAGATCACCATCTCCAAAGAGAAGGTAGGAATACCTTAAAACTTGAGTGTGCCATACAGTTACACAGCAACCACTCCATACACGAGTGCTGGAGAAGTTAACTTGTGCAAGCATAGAAGCTTAAAGTTTGTCTTGATCTGTGAACTGTGTGAAAAGATGAATTATTGTGGGCACTTCCTACTATGAAAAGATGATGTTTTATGGGCACTTCCTACCACTGGTAGTCAGAACTTCATGACAGTAACCCTGAGGTAACCTACTTAAATGAAATGTTAAAGTCGACAGAAAACGTGAGCAAATGAGAATCAGCTCTCCCAAAGTTCCCGAGGAACTTAGAATCTGGGGAAGAAGTGAATAATGTGAGGCATGGAGCAAACTATGTATGTGTGCTAGGATTAAATTCCTGCTGGTGGCTCCTCGCATCTGGGTCTCAGTTGCACCACTGCCAAGTTTTGCTGTGCACTGTGAAGGAAGAAGCAGGTTTTCCTACGGAACCAGAGAAGTGTGTGCTGGAATTGACATAGTCTGAGCTGGTGCCTTGCAGAGAGCCCTAAACTGAAACAGCAGGTTACGGCAGAGTAGGAATTCCTCTGCACAGCTGGAGCATAGGCCTCCAAGGTTCTTCCTGAGCAGGCTTGATGTCTCACCTAGCTATGGCAGCTGATGGCTCTTTGTTTTGCCTGCCCTTTTCAAGCTTAGTGCAGTTTTTACTTATAAAGGAGTAAAATATAACACTTCTCATTATTCATCAACTGTAAATGAGAACATTGTAGTAAGGGACATTATGAGGCAGGAAGGGCTCCCGAGCAGAGGAAACCTGGGGTAGCACATAAAATTTCTGTTTGTTGGGTTTGCTGTAAGAGTTGCTTTTAATGTTTTTCTTTCCCTTTCAGTCACTCACCATCAGGAAGCCCTTGAAGGAGCGGAAGTCATGAAAGAATGGATTTGAATTAAAAAAGTTTAAGAAGAAAAATTTATTTTGTTTACATTATTATAAGGGATTTTGTGGTGTCTTTATAAATGTAAGGGCTTAGTCCTAGAAGGCTGTTTCTATTGACTAACGATTGGCATGAACATTTTAAAAGTCTTAGTAGTAGACTAATGCAAAACTCCTTTGTTGTGTTAATGTTCTGTGATCTGGAAACGTTGGGCTTTTTTTATTGGAGCGTTGAAATAAACTGCATTTCTAAAGAAGTATTTTGTGATAACCCTGCTCTTTCTGTTAATATTTGGGTAGCTGAAGCAGGTTACGGGTTACTGGTGAAAAGCAGGAGGCACTTGTGAACTGAGGGTAGTGCAGCAGCCAGTCAGTAGCTCTGCAGGTGTGTGCAGGAGCACGGATTAGGGTACCAGTACCAGCTTGCCAGTGTTAATGTTTGGTCTTAAATGCTATGGTGATCTGTACTGTGTAGTTTTATTTGCACCTCCTCAAAGCTCAATGAAGCTGAAAATCTGTCTGGGGGTGTTTGTGCACTTGATGAACTGGCTTTCAGAAATGCTTAGGAAGGGTGTTAACCGATTGGAAAAAAAACAACTGTGAATGCTCCTTTGTCCTAATGATTAAAGGACCAGTGGACTTCTCACTTGGAGGTATTTGGAATATTTCTGGAATGTAAACTGTTGAAGTAAATACTTCTAGAAATCTTGTTCTGTGTCCAGTTGTGATAGTGAGGATAAACTGGCAGTTCTGGTGCAGAAGATAATACTCTTTTGGGGAAATTAAAGCTTTTTGTATAGATTGAAGGTCACAAGCAGAACCTGCAGGTCATGTTTAAGTAGCAGTCAGTATATCTGGGGCATTGAGAGTTCATGTTACACTGACCTGGTGTGACTGGTCACATCATCTCCTTTGGTAGTAAAGTGCAACCATGGGACTTACTGCTGTCCTTACCAGTTGCTGCTTTGGAAACTGGACTGTGGCTGCCTGTATACAGATGGCCGCCATCTCACCATTGGGGGATTTAATAGAAGTATGATAAACTAGCGCAAGGCAGTTGCAAGTTTTGAGTGGTCATTATCAGTTTGCAGCTGATAATGGCTGGTAACAGACTAGTAAAGACAGTGCCAGGTGATTTTCACTTCTCCCTGCCCCATCACGGTTTATTGCATCAATGGTACAATTGCTCTGTACAACAGTGTTTTTAAAGAGGGAGAGGGGGGTGGCTTTTTTTCCTCTCTGTACTGCAAAGCAAGCTGACTCCATAATAAACCTGTAGACTAAAACACTTCTAGTGAATACATTTCTTTTTCAGTCAGGTATTAGAGTGTCACAAGGCGGGGGGGGGCAGCTGGGATAGAGGAGGATGGAGGGAAGGAGGATTACTGGGGGTAGGAGGGTTGGGGAGATATTACATCTGCTGAAAGATGCAATATAACCACTGTGCCCAGTCCTTGAAGTGCATATGCAATTTCCAGGAATTGCGTATTTGTCAGTGAATAGGGCACTATTTAGAAATCCTGAAATAACAGCTAGTGCTGCAGCCCAAGGGGGTGAGATAGGAGGGGTGTGCTCACAGTTCCATACTCACTGTCACCTTTTGATTGCATCAATTTATGCTTTGCTCCCTTCCAGACGTAGCAGTTCTACCACCAGGCAAGACACCAGGATGTTGCACAAGTCCTGCCTCTGCTAGGGGAATGTAGCTACTTATCAGTCAGCTGTCCTTGTCCTCACTTCACTTCCCATGGAACTTAGCTTGTACATGAGGGAAGAGTCATACAGCCCCTGCTTGAGCACTAGTTTTCATCCAAAATATAACACTCTGATGGCTGAGAAGTCATTTACTCAAGAGGATACCACTTCTATGGAAGTCTGAGGTGAAAAATAGAATCAGTTCCCATTTAATGCTCTATTAGTCCTGCTTCACACAGAGCTTATGGCTGACAGCAAACTCCATGTGCCTCTAGTGCTTTAACACCCTGCCCTACGATCCCTACAGCCTAACAGCTCTTTATTAACCCTGTCCAGGTGGGGAGGTACAGAAGTATGGTGTTACTGGTGACTAACATCAAGCTGTGGGAACACTCCAGTCACCTGCAGTAGTGCTGGTTTTGGCTGGGATAAGGTTAATTTTCTTCATAGCATGGGGCTGTGTTTTGGATTTGTGCTGACAGCTGTGTGATAATGCAAAGATACTTTAATCACTGCTGAGCAGTGCTTACACAGCCTTTTCTGCTGCTCATTCTACTGAGTAGGCTGGGGGGGGAGGCACAAGAAGTGAGGAGGGGACAGAGACAGGCTAGCTGATGCCAACTGACTGAAGGGATACTCCAGACCATGTGGTGTCATGCTTGGCATATAAAGCTGGGAGAAGTAGAAGGAAGGACACACACGCTTAGAGTGATGGTGTTTGTCATCCCAAGTAACCATTACGTGTGACGAAGCTGTGCTGTCCTGGAGATGGCTGAACACCTGCCTGAGATGGGAAGTGGTGAATGGATTCCTTGATATGCTTTGCTTGCACAAATGGCTTTTGCTTTACCTGTTAACCTGTTTTTATCTTTACCATTTCTCTCCTCTATCCCACTGCAGGGGTGGACTGCAGCTGTGCACTGCTTAGTTGCTAGCTGGGGTTAAACCACAACAGAAGTTCAACATATCATCTGCAAAAACCATTTTGCTGCCTTGGTATGTTGGTTTTGATACTCCTGTCTTCCACACACAAGGGTGTGTTGCTGTGAAACTGCTTCTACAAGTAAGTGTACTTTCTGAAAAATCACATTAGTCCTGCAAAGATGTGCTTCCCTCTGTACGCATCATGCCTCAGCCTGGAGGCTATTTCTAGGCAGGGCTGGTGGTAGAGACGGCATTTACTCTGGTTTTACTATTACAGATGACAGCAAAGTTATTTCACTTAAGGCACTTGCTATTATTTGCAATTGCTAGTACATCAGGCAGCTCAGCTGTAGCAATGCTCAGCACTGGAGTTGAGCAATGTCAAAGGAAAGAAGTAATATTACTACTGCAGCATTTTGCTACTCTTCTGTAGGAGTCCAATCCCCAGAGTAGGAGTTTGGGTAGAAGTTTCCAAAAGTGGGGCTTTCTTCCAGCTCTGCAGGGTGGCAGAAGTATACCAGCCACCAGAGGAGGTTGACAGTAACCATCCATCCACCCCAGGATCCATTTTTAGTGCACTACAGCAGTCACAGAATCACAGAATGGTTTGGGTTGGAAGGGACCTTAAAGCTCATCTAGTTCCAACCCCTTGCCATGGGCAGGGACACCTTCCACTAGCCCAGATTGCTCCAAGCCCCATCCAACCTGGCCTTGAACACTGCCAGCGATGGGGCAGCCACAGCATCTCTGGGCAACCTGTGCCAGGGCCTCACCACCCTCACAAGGAAGAATTTCCTAATATCTCAGCTAAAACTCCCCTCTGTCAGTTTAAAGCCATTCCCCCTCATCCTGTCACTACATATCCTTGTAAAAAGCCCCTCTGCCAGCTTTTTTGTCAGCCCTTTAGGTATTGGAAGACTTTTACATAGCACAGGGTGAAACCGGAGAAGCCTGGCTGCCAGGGGAAACCTCCACTCTCCTGCAGCTTTACACTAACCAGAACAGCCTGCATGGATCCAGCATGTTACTCCAACTGATCTGGTACAGCCTCCTCACCAGAAGATGTTCTCTAAACCTATTTCAGAACCAACCTGACATGAATCAAAACGTGCTCACCTTTTTGAGGGCATTGGCTCGAACCATAAACAGCTCCATCTCTGGTCAGCTCTATGACTGACTTAACTCAGTAAAGTCTCGGCCAAATGCAGAAGTGAGTTTAAACCCAATTCGGGAGCAGTTTATGATCTCATATGCTGCCTCTGCTGCCTCCAGACATCACTAGTACAAAAAAGCAGCTAGGTAGCAGGTATTTTTGTGCCCAGAAAACACTATTGCCAGTGTATGGCCTCATGAAAAAACACTTCCTTAGCTGGCAGTTTCTTCTCCTCTTGCGAGATTTGCCATTTTCCCATGTTCCAGTGTGTAGTGTAACAAACCTTACTTTCAACAAGAGAGCTCTCTGTAAACAAAGAAACCAAACCAAACCAAACCAATCCAAAACCTGTCAATAATACAGGTGCCAACTTGGTCTTCCAGAGATCCGTGCCATTTTTGGGGATGACAAATACATCAAGACACTGATGTTAGTTGGTCCATTCTCAGACAGTAGCAAACAGTGAGTACAGAAAGCTGTTCTCACGTTACTGCGTGGTCACAAGCTTTACAATCATACTGATGATCCGAGATCCACGGGGGCACATGCATAAGTCCATGCTTGGATTCTTGATTTTATCCTGCAGCAGCTGGTCTAGTTCACAGCGCAGCTCCTTCACCAGCTCAGCCACCTATGGTAAAACACAGAGGTGCATCTCCTGCATTCCACACAAGCAGAGCTCTGCAGCACTCCCAGGAGTATCCATGCTTTTCCTTACCTGGTGAGAGGCAGCCACAAACCGTATCCATCCATCGTCAAGAGAAATGACAAATTCTCCCTTCTGCAGCTGCATGTGGACCTGCCCACCTCCAAGGAGGACCAGTGGGTACACTGACACCATGCTGCAGTCTCGAATGAACACACGGCTGGTCTTGATCTTCTCATGATACACCAGGTAGGGGCTTTCAAAGTGCCTAGTCTGGAACACATACACCACATCCTCATTAAGTGCCACATCTCTTCCTACCTGCTCAAATACAGGCCTGCCTGCCTCTTCTATGGCTGCAAAGAACAGCAAATGTGCTTAAAATGTACCTTGAGTCTGACCTGTAAGAGCTGCCAATAACTGCCAGTTATCCCTTGCTCCATCCCGCTTTGCAGTGAGCGTGTGAGAAATCAGCTAATTCATCAAGGCCCCAAGTTCTCCATTTCATGTTAAGGACATTTTCATGGGCGCCTTTGTTATGCTCTTTCAAAGAAGAGTGATAACAACAGTTCAAAGCCTGTATAACCCAAATATGTGGTTAATGATTAAAACCCCACTTTCAGCTTTGCAGAAAAAAAAAAATCCTGACCTGATAATTCACAGACGAAGGATGAATGTGAACGTAACCATCATTTTTGGTAACAAACTTCAGCTCTTCTGCTTTAGGCTGCAATTTGACCACTCCTGTACTGGTCTTCTGGTATTTGCCCTCTGGCTTTTTCACCTGTATGGTCAGAAAAAAAGTTGTAAAAATCTGCTTTACCAGAAAGCATTTTTAGCTTAAGTTTTCATTTTATCAATGAAATTCTCAAGTAGTAAGATGTCAGGTCACTAGAGACACTGCACTCCAGGTGCTGTCTAACCCTGAGCGTGTGTTCATTTGTAACCTCAGCCTTCTAAAGCTGAGGTTACAAAGGTGTAATTTAAAATAGCTTCTTAAGAACTTTTGCTGTTGGCTCCTGTGTGACACTAAAATCAGCCTGTAGGAACAGCAGCAATCTCAAGCGATACAAACTGGAGCTCAGCTGCCTGGCTGTAACACTGTGAGCAGCAAGCTTTGGCAACCTAAGCCAGGCTCAAGGCTGCCACAACCAGCCCAGACTGAAAGCAGGCTGTGAGGATATGCTAGACAGCAGAAGAGAAAATGAGAAAGCATTCTTTTACCTGCACAACATTGGGATACAGCGCGGCACACAATATAGCCGAGATCAGCTTGATGTTCTCTGCGTTTGAATTTGCCTGTGAAATTAATGTATGCATTAGGTATTCTACAGGTTAAGTCTATAAAGGTAAAGCCCTGCTTCTGGAAAGACTGAATTCCTGAAAGGGGTTTCTTTTTGTAGCTGCAGTGCTGTGCTTTGTAGGGGAGGACTAATTACTGTCCTGAGGTTTCAGCCTAACCTGGCCTTCGTTCCCCCCCCATCAATCAATCAAGTTGGCCACCAACTATTAATTCCAGACATTAGGGAATAACAGCTGGCTACAAAGCAGCTTGTCCCCAGGAAAAAGCAAGCGTAAGTTATCCCAGTGCACAGTGAGACTCTAGAACTACCAAACCAGTACCACCTCATCACATAGCCCCAGGAGGTCTCTAGCTCCAGACATACTGCTTTCTGAAGATTGTCTGCAATGCTGAATTATCTCCCTGCCTGCTCTGTAAGGTAATTTTGTTCCCAAAATAAGGTTGTTACTAATCCCAACACTGGGGCCAGGTCATGAGTCATATGTGCCTTTGCACCACTTGCTCATATCTAACATGTCAAGTCAGCAGTGCTCGCTGTCTCAAAGGAACAAGTTTCAGCCTACTTCCACATCTGGGCCTGTTCTTCCTGTACACATAAGGCCTCATGCAATGGAGTCTAGTGCCAGCATGTATGGTGTACAGGGAGGAAGAACGGAGCAGATAGATAGGAGATGGCTATTGCCAGTGTGAGATTACAAAGTCGAGCCCACCTGGAACCTGGGTGAAATGAAATACAGCAGCATTGTTTTGGAGCACTGAAATGCTAGGAATTACCTCTTCCCCTGTAGCATCCAACACGCCATCACCTTCTTGGGACCACTTCTTCTCAATGTCCCTGGCTCTTAATCCCTCCTTCACAAACCCGATGTCAGAAAGCAGTTCGGTGAATTGCCGTTTCAGGCTGGCAATTTCCTACAGACAGACAAAGGGCTGTGACTGATGGGTGCTGCACACAGAAGAGTCTTCACCACTTGCTTATGTTTGTCACTAAGGCTCTGCCATTGTAGCAAGCAGCCTCTGGGCAAGGCCACAAAAACAGACTTACCTGAAGAACTCTTCCTGACAAAAAGTTCTCCCTGCAGTAGTTGTAGCTTGCCTGAGAACCCTCTCTGATACTCAAACGCCACCCCTAATTGAGAGGATGGGATGAGGTCTTTAATAAAATATTTCAGCTTGAATTTCAAGCACACCAGAAGCTTCAGAGCTGAATTTTAGCTCACCTTATAGGCCTGCAGAAGAGCCAGGTAGTCGCTGTTTCCTACTGCAAACTCCAACTTCTTTTTGTTTGCTTCTTCCCTTTTATCCCATGGTGACACCTAGATGAGCAGTAACAGATTGTGTTTTTCATGCCTAGACAGTCCATTGCAAGACCTGCATGTCACAAACTTTGGTATTTCACAGCAGGCCACAGGTCAGAAAGCAAGCTTTCTCCATGGATCACAGAAAACACGAGGCATTCAAAAATGCCTAGACAACAGCAGGGCACCTAAGCCTATTGCCCTATGTAACCATAAGAGACCCAAAGGTAAACTTGCGATTAATCAGCTCACAGAAAATAATTCATTTTGAGCAGACCTCTCTGCAGTTGCAAAATGCCAACATCCATAAAAAAACATCATCTGACAAATCTCAGCAAGTTAATGGAGCTGAAGTTCAAATCAGAATGCTTATAATACAAAAGAGCAAATAAAGTCTAAATCCACTTGGGTCTGAGAGAGAGAAAGCAGCAGTAACTCAGGACATTAAAAAAGCTGAATTTAAGTTATTCTATAACAGCATATAGATGTAGCACTTGAAGTCAAAATGCTCTAGAAAATGCTCAATAAGCATATGGAAAACAACATGCAATTAAATAACTAGAACAATCTATTTCCAATTCTCTCACAATTTTCCTCAGTACAAACTATTTGCACCACTAACAACAGCAATCAAAACTTCAAGAAAGCCTGACTTTCCATGCAAGTTTGTACACCGCAGTAGAGGATTAACAGTACTAAGTGCAGCAGCTAATTCAAAAAGCCAACGTGAACGTGAACACAAACTTAGATTTGCTTCACAGCTCAAACATCAACTTCATCATTAGCACTGTTTCATAATTATTTCTAACTGCTTCTTACATTACCATTCATTTACAATTTTTACTCCAAATTTGGACAAAATGGCCTGGCTGTACTTCTTAATTCAAATTCAAACTAATATCAACTCTGTTTCTACTGTGCACTCATAAAATAAATAACATTTTTCTTGCTGCTGCATAGTTTTGGTCTTCTGCTTTTAACTGGAGATTTTTAACGAACACTGTATTCACATACAAACAATGTAGGCTAAGAAGGAGAATTAAAATACTGAAGTGTAGAATACTGCAAATTACAACAGTGTTTTGCTGCTGTATGAAAGCGTACTGCTTTCAAAGTGCAATACATGGTTAAGAATACTTACAAAAGGTGACTTAAAGGCCAGACTGGCTGCTATAGTCAGCGCAGGATCCAGGCAGCGGAAGATGGTGCCAAACAGCATCAGCTTGCCAATTCTGACATCAACAGGCAGAGAAGCCAGGTGATATCCCAGAGGGGTGAGCTTTTCATCTGGAGTTAATGCTCCCAAGTCTTGTAGTCGCAGCTTTGATGCTCGCAAAGACTCAGTTCTAGGGGGCTCGATTAGTCGTGATAAGACAGAGTGAAGACTCTGTGCAGAAAACATCTCCAGAATCTTAATTCTTAAAGAAAGAAAGAAAAATAAAGCAGCTTAGTTCCATATACTAAGGAATTTGTTCTATTTTCTTTCTGTACAAAAGGATGCCCAGTGCGTAGCAGGAATAGGAGGACTCATTCATTTAGCATTTGCCTGATAGTGGTGCTTGATCCAGATTGTGGCTTTACTGCACTATGTTGCACAGAAACACCACAGGAGGCTTTAGAGCATAAGGGGACAAATATCTGTGGTGGGTCTGGAGTACAAGAATGCAACTATCTTCTCTGGTGATGAGAGAGCTGAGAGACATGTCTTTTTCCTATCAGATGAGAGCTAAGGAACATGAAGAAGCACAGGGAGAATTAGTGGACAGTGTGATTAGAGAGGGAGCTCTGGATGCAGAGGCAATGTGATAGTAAGATCAAAGCAACCAAACTGCTACCTTACTTGATACTAAGATCAAAGAGCCTTAAATCTCCAGAGCAGTTTCTTGTTTCATGATGTGAGAAAACAATGTGGAAACTAAGCACCTTGTTAATGGCATTCCAGGTGCTCTCTGCAGTGGAGGAAGGACATTCTGCACTTAGGCAGTACAGGAACAACAGCTCACCTTAGACAAAGCTGCTCCAAGGGAACTCTTTGTATTTCTGGCAACTGCTCTTTTATAAGCTGATGGTTATAGTGATGGCTACTGAAAAGATGAAAGCAGACACCTGAGGCTACACGGCCTGCTCGCCCTTTCCTTTGCAGAGCGTTGGCCTTGGACACGAATGTGTCTTCCAGACTTTCCATTCCTTTGCTTGGGTCATATCTACAGGAGAGCAAGAAACACGCTTATAATCATGACTGCAGAGTGAACAGGATGGAGGTCAAACAGGCAGCTGCTGCCTACTTCTGTATGGACAAAATTCCCACCCCTGTAGTTGGCTTTGAGGCCAGACTGGCTTCCTCCCCTTGCAGAAGCTTTCTGCAAATGAAGTTCCTTCAAGTTTTTCCCAGCTCTTTGGAACGCTAAAGTATGTAGCTAAAGGCATAGGGCAGTTTCCCAGATCACAAAGCCTTGAGGAATGAATCCCAGTACCTTTTCTCTTTCATTTTTCCAGAATCAATCACATAGACCACATCATCAATGGTGACAGATGTTTCTGCAATGTTTGTAGAGATGATGATTTTGATAACTCCTGCAGGTAGCCTGAGGAACACAGACTGCTGTTCTTCACTAGACAGTGAAGAATGAAGTGGATAAACAACACACCTGGAAGGAGAATACAACAGCATTCTCAGTGCATCTCCAGCCTTTTCTCTGTTGGGAAAAATCTACCTGCACACACTTTTGCCTCACTAGCGCTAGACACTGCCCACAGCCATTCAAAGCAACGTAAAACCAGCAAACCACTTTGACATAAGACATAGAGTCACAGAATCATTTAGGTTTGATCACCGAGTCTAACCATAACTAAACATTTGCAAGTCTACCACTAAACCATGTCCCAGGGACAGTGACTCAACCACTTCCCTGGGCAGCCTGTTCCAGTGCTTGATAACCCTTTTGGTGAAGAAATTTTTCCTAATATCCAATCTAAACCTCCCCTGGTACAACTTGAGGCAATTTCTTCTCATCCTATCGCTTGTTACCTGGGAGAAGAAACTGACCCTCACCTTGCGCCATCCTCCTCTCAGGTAGTTGTAGAGATACGGTTTTGCCTCAGCCTCATTTTCTCCAGACTGAACAACCCCAGTTCCCTCAGCTGCTCCTTGTAAGACTCATGCTCCAGACCCTTCACCAGCTTTGTTGCCCTTCTCTGGACCCACTCCAGCACCTCAATGTCTTCCTTGTAGTGAGGGGCTCAAAACTGAACACAGTATTTGAGGTGCAGCTTCACCAGTACTGAGTACAGGGGGATGATCATTGCCCTGAACCCGCTGGCCACACTATTGCTGATACATATTCCTAGAAAGGGTGAAGTTTACAGAAGGGACAGGTCTCAGAATAGAGTTGAACAAAAATTCTGCTTCTTTAGAAGAGTCTAGAATCTGCCACTGAAAATGTCAGACTGGAAGAACTCACTCCAGCTAACCTTGCCATGAAATCTGTGTAAAAACTGTTCAGTCAAAGAGATCCAATTGCATCTCCGTGTAAAATCTACTCTAAAATACAACTACAACTGAATGTCTCAGAAAACATCCTGAAACAGAACAAGGACTGAGGTGAAGTGTTCAACAGTTCACTGGATCATGCAGAGTACAAGACAGAGAACACCCATCACGAGGATCTCTGAGAACTTCAACAACTAACCTGTCTGAGTTGAGGAGAATAAAACAAAAAGAGGAAGCCAGTAAGACAGTAGAAAAGGAATTATCCTAACTCAAGTCAGGACCCTCATATCACAAGCTGTCTTACACATTGAATAACCTTTATTTAACCCTGGATAAAGGCAGGCCTTGTGCAGGAAGCTACTCTTTATTTATGGGAAAAGACCAATAGTTTTGGCGCTTTTCTGCCTTACCTCTTGCTGTGCCTGTTATTAAAAAGGGCGTTAGACTGGAGCTGCTCATAAAGCATCTTGATTTCTGCTAGACCAGGCAAAAATATCAACACAGCACCTATATATGTAGATTAAAATAAAAAGCCATTTAAAAATCACTCAACAGAAAGGACAGCAGGATATTTTATCAGTTTGCAGAAGGCCCATGGCTCTGTTTCACAACTATTTTACCAAAGAAAACATGCAGGCTGCAACAGTCCTTCACCAAAGACATTCCAAAGCAGACAGTTCTCTCACCTTCCCCATTCGATGTATAACAATGGCTTTGTTACTCAGCTAGAACTTTCTCCCCCTACCCGTCCAAAATAGTAACTACAGAAACTCTGCATGCAAAACATTAGCTTTGGGCTGCCTGTAAGTGCACAGCCTCCATGAATCTACTTTTGTTTATCTCTCAAGGACAAGGAGATTACCTGGGGGGTATGAATGTCTGCCAGCAACTATCCATTCCAACAAGGCTTCAATTAATTCCAAATTAACTTTGTCCAAGTCCATGACAGACATTGTTTTCAACACTGACTTGTTAACTCCTGGGGACAAAGAAATAAAACACACAGTAAGTCCATCTTTTATAAAAAACATCTGCTGGATGTTTTGATGCATTGAACCAGTGTGGCTGCACAACCAAGCACACCTTGGTTTAAACAGCATCTGACTTAGATCAGAAGAGGTAGCTCCAGAAGTGACTCAATGCATCACATTCCCCCTTCCTTTGCTCTCCTGTTTCAGCTCTGCCCTTCCCTTCATATGCCTTATTGGGGATTAAACCTGCCCTGTGCACAGCCTAGACAAGGATTCATCTACTAGTGCTCCAGCAAGAACAGATACAGAGAAAGAAAGCAGAATTAACAAGGCATCTGAAAAGGGATGGGAACAGATAGTAACTGAAAACTGTTGTCCATTTTCAGATGCTAAGGACTGTTTTCAGCCAAGACGTTTGTTCCAGTTTGAGAGAACAATGGGTTCTCTATTTCTTCTTTTTTCTTTTATTTTTTGGCAAGCAGGAGGTTTCTGATCTCATCTAGAAGTAGTGACCTGCTTCATTTCACAGCTACAAGACTCTGAATTAGATATATGCATTCAACATACAATATTATACGGTAACATGCCATGTGGCTGGCAAATATTATATGCCGATTTATTAGATTTAGGAAGGAGCTCACCTTTATATCGTGTAAGGAGCTGCTTCAGAGTTAATTTTTGGTCTGGGTCTGAATCTCTGACAACTGTGTCAGTGCTTTCAAGCATGCCAGCACGTCTCAGGTCCTCCTCTACTTCTTCATATGCAGTTCTTTTGTGTCTTGCATTCTGCTTGTTTTCTTGCTTTGTCTTGCGCCTGTAGGGACTACTGTCCTCTAAAACATATCTAAACAGCAGAAGAACACTCAGTGCCTCGGAAAGAAGCCTAACTGTCTCCTCCAAATAACTTGCTAAAGAGAGAGGGTATCACAAGTATTTAGATATAAAGCTGAGGGGCTGAGGGGAACTTTGCTTAAGTGGGTTGCAAAACCACAGACAGTATCAAGGTCAGGTGTCCTTCCATACTAGGATGTTAGTAAAAGCTGTGATGCAGAAGACTAGGACTGGAAACTTGATTTTGACAACTGAGTAGCTCAGAGCAAGAATTTGCAAGTAACTTACAATAGTTGATCAATTTACCATCTGAGGAACATCTGAGCTGCTGTGATTCTCCAATAACTATACAAAAGTATAGTACCTATAAAAGGTACGAGGAATCTGGATCCCGAGCGGCAAGGCAGGGCTTACAAAAAGGAATTGTTTGGTATCCTGCACTTGTCACCTTCAGTGCTGAAATCTACCTTCAAATTTCTTTTGCTTGCCAGCAGCTAACCACCACTGAAACATGTAAAGCACAAGCACTAACAAACTCTCCATGGCAAAGCTCACCCACTCTTGAGTATTTATGTCGTCTCTAATGCAGAAAGGCCTGTTTCAGCATCGCAGAATCATAGAATAGAATCATAGAATAGTTAGGGTTAGAAAGAACCTTAAGATCATCTAGTTCCAACCCCCCTGCCATGGGCAGGGACACCTCACACTAAACCATGCCATCCATGCCATCATGAGATCCTAGATCCCACTGCAATATAAGTATGGTTTAAAATCAGTGCTTTAGTACAACTCTAGGACTGCAGGTGATGGGGGAGTTTTGAGAGAAATTCATTTTTAAATCTACGCAAAGAACTGCTGCAGTTGCAAGGTCAACAGTGCAGCCCCAAAAGCCAAAGACACCTGAGATTTTTAGCTTTTTCATACCTTGTCATTGCAATCACATCCTCCAGGAAAAACTGATCCACAGGAAACGTTCGTCCTAAGAGGAAAGAGAATAAATCTACATGCTGCACAACACACAGAAAAGAGGAAAATGACTGAAGGTGGTTATCATTTCAGATAGGTTATTATGTCATACACTGGCTTCACAGCTCTCATCTGTACTGCACTCTTCAACACAATTTCTGTCTGGGACAAACGGGATGTTTTCCAAGCATGGTTTGGTAACATGCACTTACACAGTCAGAGAAGAGCTAACAGACACATCCATGAGGCTAAATCCTTCTGTCATGCTCCATGTAATAACTTAGCGATTTAAAAGGTACATTTGGCTAAATGTGTACCCATCCAGCTGGATCCTCCCACTGCTTGACAACTTTTTCACAAGGACAGAGGAGTCTTCAGCTGTGCTAAAACTAGCTCAGGGAACCACATCATGCACGCTGTGTCATTTTTGTCTTTTGGAAGGCAAATTCTACTGGTGTAGAGACAGCACAAAAAAGGCCTCATTTTCCAAGTCTTCTCTCTCTTAAATCTCATTGGTCTTTCTTTATAATCCATTGGAATCATAGTTCTTATATAAATCCTGACCTTGCCACTTTGCAGACTAGCCCCTTGTACTTGAATTGAGAAACACTTCAGAAGTAGAAATACTGAAAACAAACTCTTACAACAATGAATGTGAGAAGATAATAAAAATGAATGGCTTTCACCTGGTATGTTAATAATTGGGCAGGAGTGAAAGTATTGAGAAAAAAGCTCCGCATTCACGGTGGCACTCATTAGTACAATGCGCAGGTCTGGCCTCTGAACCATTATATCTTTCAAAACCAGCAGCAAGAAGTCACTGCAGAAAACAAGCAAAAAGACATTTGAATTTCTTCAGTGTTAACTTTCAAAGTCTCTTTTTTTCTCCCCATTCTGTCCACCTTCCTGGCATTTTCAATAGCACAGAAATATCATCACAGAAGCATAAGCTTCTCAGAATGGCTGGAGGCTAATCATGTAATAAATTAATGGAAGGCACTCTGCTTATTCTTTGGCTGTTCCTTACTGGAGTGTCAGGATTACTTGGCAAATTCATTTAAGCAACAAAGAGCTCTGGCTACCTTATAAATTAATTACATTAATGATAAGACAAGAACATTAGGTAACAAATTAACTCAAAGTAACAAATGAGTCCTTTTTGCTCCTTTTCCTTACTGAAAGAGTTATTCAAACTTCTTCCTGCTCACTGTATTCTTCCCTACAGATTTAGAGCTTTTGTGGCATGCCTACAAAACTGGTCTCAGTGATTTCAGATGAGAAGAGAGAAGAATCCTGGAAAGATGTAAGCCCTTTATGAGGCTAAAATATAATCTGAGCTGTAGAATAACGGGTCACAGAGAATGCATCCTGAAACCTACCTCACTGCAATGTTTCACAAGGAAAACATCAAAGAAAAGGATCCTTGCCACTTACTTTACAGAGATACTGACAGACATTATCTTTTGGGTAGCATCAGCAGATAAGTGGGTAAAACTGTAGGAGGCTGGAGCAGACTGTCTAGAACTAGTAAAATCTATAGACTGAAGGAAAATGCGAGCACTTGTCCTTTGCAGGTGCTCTGCTGAAGCCTGCATCAGGAACAATAATTCTCAAAATGGCATGTGAAGAATCAAGGTATTTGTTAAAAGCTCAAAGAAGGGAAGAGTAAGAACCTGACAACTGTGGTTAAAAACTTACTTAACCCTCCAGCCCCATCCAAAACCTCTTTTCAACATTACTTTAATGTGATGGCAGACTGGATGTATAAAAATATAAGAGATGTGCTTTCTTTGCAAGCTGCTGCAACATCATCTCCTACTGCCCAAAGACAAGAACCTAAAACCAGACTTCTTCCACCAGCTCGCATTACTGCCACAGGATCAACAAGTCTGACTTCAGTTACTTGCACCTTACCAAAGTCACCTTTATCCTTCTGACTATGACCTTGATTTTGCTTATGGGATAAGAGATTATTTACCTTTCTTCTGTTCTTTCATGAACTTCATCAACAATAACATGCGTGATTCCATGCAAAGTCAGATCACCTTCCAGCCTTCTCAACAGCACACCAGTAGTGCAGTACAAGAGTCTGGTAGCTGAGGACTTGAACAATAAGACAAAACATTCAGCTGACTTTGTGCAACTTAACATAGTGCAAAGAGAACACGTGTTGCTGTTAAACATTCGGTTTCAGCTGAGTGTCAGGTTTGACAGAAAGAGAGCAAACAATTCCTGCTGTATACAGGCTAAATTATTTTTCTTTTGTGATTAAAAGCTGAAAACACCTGCTTTTTACCAAGGGGCACTGCTAACTATAAGGGATAAACAAAAAAATCTGAGTTGTTTTTCCTGTGGAAGTTGCTTTCTGATAAAAAACTTGAATCTCTGTCCCTAGAAAGATCTTTTGAATCTCTTTTGTAACGTAGTTCATGTAAAAAGCAATCAGCTGTAACATAAACAAAATTTCACTTCCAAGACAGCAGTTTGAATTCAACCCCTCCTTCTGGCTGACCCAAGCTGCAGCCTTTAATCCGCTTGGGTGACAAAGAGAAATTAAGTCAATAGCGGCAGTGTCCAAGGCCAGGCTGGACAGGGCCTTGGGCAACACTATCTAGGGTGAGGTGTCCCTGCCCATGGCAGGGGGGTTGAAACTAGATGATCCTAAGGTCCTTTCCAAACCTAACCATTCTCTGATTCTATGATTCACTAGCATTCCAGAGGACAGAATTCATGCTCTCAGACCCCTTTGCCTGTCTCAACAGAAAGCAAAACAATGTAAGACATAGTACTCAACTCTTATTCTGTAAAGTGGACTGTGCAACTTGAGATGAAAAAAAAAAAAGGATTTCGTAATATAATATAAAATACAGCTGACACAGACTTGCTGATCTCACTACAGGGCAGAGATTCTGTATGCTGAAGAAGCACTAAGCACATTTTAATAAACTAAATAAAAAACAAGAAGCAATGCATGTATATACCTTTACACTTTCCAGACGGATCTGATATCCAACAGTAAGTCCAATCCTTTCTGCTCTTTCTTTGGCTACACGTTCAGCCACAGAAATGGCAGAGATCCTGCGAGGCTGAGTGCAGATGATGTTTGCAACTCTGCTTGGAGATCCTTGCAATGAAGCATCCAAAATAAATTGAGGAATCTGAGTGGTCTTCCCACATCTGCAGGACAAAATCAGGGATTCATTAAACAAACAAAAAACTCCCACAAACCCAACACCTTCTATCCATGTAAATTAAGATAACTGCATTCCAATTGAAATTCACTTTGTTTCATTAGTGTCATCATCACATGTCAGGTAGGACTGCTGTATTCTAACCTTTTCATGGATACATATTTCACATACTTCTGTGTATGCTTTGATGCATCTGCAATCACACTCTTACCCTGTCATGCCGCTCACAACAAGAACTTGGTGGCTCTTCAGCAAATCAAGAATGGTTTCTCTCTCTTGCCATGCCGGGAGCTTCTGTCTTTCATACAACATGGACTGGAAGTGCCTAGAAGACTGATGCACAAAACCAGATATGGCATGGCAGTAAGAACACCACTGGAGTGGAACAGAACCATTTGAAACAGCAGCCTATGGCTTAGATATTTATTTCTCTAAAGTAAATATGAAAACAGACACTTTGTTCTGTACATTATACCTTTTTCAGCCGAAATTGCGTGCAGAGTTTAACATTTTCGTTATACAGAGACTTTGCCTGCACATCATACTTTTTGGAGAGCTTTTTCTTGAGGTGCACGTAACTCTCATTCTCCACAACAACTTGTTGAGGCTCACCTTCCTCTTCTTCTGCCACCTCTTCTTCCTGAGGCTCTGACACTGTTGAGGCTTGAGACAGAGAATGTACAGTTGGTTATTCTTGTTACTAACAAGCAGTACCTCATCAGCACTGCAGAACAGAGACACGTTCCAGGAGCATTCTCAACAAGTACCTTATCAGACTGGAGCTGAAGGTCTGCAGGCCTAGTTTAACATGCATTTAGTTCAACACTACCAGAAAACCTCATCAAACAAACCAGAACTTCTCCAGCTCCAACCCACTTGTCACTCCCCTTGCACTAAGCTGTGCTCTCCAACACCATGGTCTGGGTGGCCACAGGGTGAACCAGACTGATAACTGGTTTGCCTTCCTGAATGCTTTTCATGTGTCTCAGCTTCCCTCTCCAATTCACCACACGACCACTTCTCCAGAGCACAAGACTGTGATGGAAACACCAGCTTAAACTAATTAAAACTACACTATAACATTAATTGCTAAACCACTGCCAAGTACTTTTAAACCAAGACCGAAACTGGACCAGGTAGTGTGATGCCTACTGCCTATCAGTTCAAGTGGGATTTGCTCAGACAGTAGGCCAGCCCTTGAAAGTGTTACGGCTACATTTATCTAACCAAAGTATTGTATAAAATAAGGACGATTATCTGGTATCTCTGATTTCTGGAACAAATTCTGAATTTTTGGAACAAAGCTGCCTTTCTGTGGAGCTGTTAAGAAACTGAGTAATTAGTTTTACTATAACAAAAACATAGGCTGTCACTATTTAGGTTCTCTAAAATGTGGTAACAGTTGCTCTTGAAAACTATCTTGAAGAAAGCTTGCCTTAGATAAAACAGGCTTGGAACTGACAGCCTGAAGGTCATCCATGCCACAGAGTTGCTGTAACCCTGCCATGACACAGTCCCAACTCTCCCCCTGTGAAATCAAAGTAGTTGTGCTTGCATGCAAAAAAGGATGGTACATTCAGCAACATTCTAGAACCATTTCCAACACTTACTTAGCCTTAAATCCACCTTTACAGAATTATTTTTGAGGAGGGGTTGGTAATTTTAAGTAATTAAAAATAAAGGTTCTGAATTGATGAGTAGCAGATGCACCAAAGCTTGCAAACAACCTTTTCCGTTTCCTTCCCAGCAAAATTCTCTGGTCAATTTTGGTAAGCTTACACCATGTCTCTCACTGGCTTTTCATTGATTGTGTGGGAATAGACATCGTTCACTCTGCCAACCCAAACTCATTAGCTCTATGCTCCTTTAACTCAGTTCTTGCCAGCAGCAAGAACTCTGATGCAGCTTTATTATGGAAGGGACTTGCTGAGGCACAGCAGATTATGGGTCTGGCTCACCACATGACCTTAAGCTCCAGAAATAGATTTGGAACAGATGCCTGAACTAGGCTCTCTGCCTTCTCTTTATCTTTTTGACTTGCTATTAACCCAGAAACATAAGAGGGATATTTGCTGTACCTTCAGACTTCCGATTCGAACTGGATGTACTCCCCGCCTGTAGCTTTACTGAAGGTTTAGCCAGCAGGGACACAGGAGGAACACTGTACTTGTGGTGAGTATTTTCAAGCAACTTGATCATTTCGTATTCATCTTCTAAGCAAGTCACTAAGGTGTACACCACTGGTTCACCAGACTCTGCAGCTATCAAGGCCTTTCCAAAGAGGAATTCAGCAATGTGTAAACGACAAGCAAGAGGTAGATTCTCATCAGTGGAATAAAATGCCACAAGAGGTGCCTGAAGTGGATACTTGTTTTCTTCAGGAAATCTTACTTCAAGTTCATATACAGGACAATCAACTCTGAGATGAGCATCATCTACAGAGCTCCTGGCTGGTTTTAGTGGGTGGTTTGGAGGGAATTCATGTCCAAATCTGCATTTTGAACCAAACCTGCAGCCTCCTTGGAGATAAAATTTACATATTTCCTTTGTAGTCAGCTTTGCCGTGTCCCTTGTACAATCACTCTTTTGTTTAGATTTGCTGAGCCTATTTGCTAGGTACTCCAGTTCCAAACTAAAAGTCCAAACACGGTTTTGAATTCTCTCTACAAATTTTTCTCCACAGATTGACCGGAGGGCAAAAGCCTCTTCTCTTCTCTGTTCTAAACACTCTTCTTGACTGGCTTCAGCAGCTGTTGACGAAACCTGCATTTTCTCTCCATATCTTTCTGTAAAGCACTGCAATAGCAAATACTCCAGTGATGCCCCAATATTACCGTTGGAGGATCCCAGTACTGTTCTACAGCGCTCACTGTCAAAACCATACCTACAACAAAACAGACAACGTGGCAAGAAGTGAGTGACAAAGACATGTATGAAGCAAAATAACCACAGATCTTATTAATTAGGCTTACAGTAACGAAGCATGTATGGCATGAGGTACTATTACTACTAGTGGTGGAAAAAAATTAGACAAAAATATTTATACTAAGACAGTGGCAGACAGCAATTTGGTGTCTGTGAATGCTAGTCTGTTTTTTATAGGGTGAGAGATTAGTTTAGGTAGCAACTATCTCACACCTCAGAATATAGCACATAACAATTACAGAATTAGATTTCTGAGTTGAACTATATAAATTAAACTCTTCAGAACAGGCTGTCCCACAGAAAACATTCTCAAAGCAAAAAATTGTTAATAAATGTTCAAATCTGAGCAAAACAGATGAAGAACACTTACAAGGTTTTGAAACATACACATAACAACAATGCTCCCTGAGCTTTCTCAATACTTGTTACATTGTCTTGGAGAAAGAACTGAAAACTTTACTGAAAAAAAGGCTGGAGTTATTTTTTTTCATAAAATCATTATTTTAAATTCACCTAGCGGGTGATTAAATTTGTAGGAGATATAAACTCATCAGTTCTGCACACCAAACTTCCCTGGAGTCAAGTAGAAGCCCAAGAGCTGAGAGCTTATGGTATCAAGACTAGTAATTTATCTCTTCAGGATACAAATTATTCACTGAAAAGCATCACCTGGAGAGTTTGTGCACAGCAAATGAAGACACTTCACTTTCCACTACTTTGTGCTCAGCTGGCTCAGCAGATGACCTTGGTAGTAGGTCAGAAACTTCCCAATCCGTTGACCAGCACTGTTCATCATCAAGGTAATCTGGTTCATCCTCGTCTTCACCAGAACCAGCTACTCTGATAAAAAGAGTTATCAAATTAAAATGGAACAAAATTATCCTGTTGAGTAGACACAAAATTCTGCCTCTGCAGTTTTAAATGTTCCATTTAAATGGAGGATTCTGCTACCCCTTTCCCAGAATTAACATTGTAGAGAATAAAGCAGAGTCAAAACCAAAGTATGTGAGATCCATCTAAAAGTTAATGGAAAAAGAATACCGGTTTAATTTCTAACAGTGTGCCTGTTAAGGTGTTCTCATTTAAAAGAGCTAGAAGTAGTGCCCCCATTTCAACTAACTCTGATTCAGGAGCAAGATCCTGCCCTTGAAGTTCTTGAAGAAGTTCCTTCACTCTTCTCTGATTCTCTGATGTCATGTGTATAGTCTGCAGAGGCATTTTTGCTTCAGGTCTCTGTTTTGTTTGCCCTCCTCTTCTGGCAGGTGCATTTGACCTAAAAACAAAATAGAACATAACAATGATCTTGACTGAATTGGGATGTGTTAGGACTTGATCTGATCCTGTAATTCAAAACAGGAAAACCAAAATAAGACAAGTCCATCACCTAGAGATTATTCAGTTGGGTTCATTCTTATGTGACCACAATATGTGTGTCTATATCTGTGCACACACACATGCATATATGGATTTTATCCTGTGTCAAATCCAAAGTGATTTAATAAACATTTTGGTAGGTAAAGCTGCTCTCAGACTATGGTATGACCATGCACTTCCAAGCCAGATTGGTCAGAATACACACAGGATACCAAATTAATTCTAAATTGCTTATTTTTCATGGCCCAGTTTCTGCTTTGTAATACACAAAAATTAATATCCTGTGTTTACTAGTGTTTTCTGATCAAAGATGTCCTGAAATCACTTTACGACCGAAGAAGAAAATCAGAGGTTCTAATCTTAAAAAAACCACTTTCCTAACTAAAAAAAAAAAATTTAAATGTTAATAAAAAACACATGTAAAAACTGCTTTATAAGGAAACAGCTTCATCACCCTTTCACTCTTTCATCCATATATCAGGCCTAAGGTATCCCAAACATCTCTATGCCAAACTCTCCAAATTAACAGAAAGACCTGGACTCCAGTCTTGGTCCCTCGAAGAGACAAAAATCATCTCCATCATCCCAAATTCTGGTTGAACATTTCCTATTTCCACCAAGCTGAGATTTGTTTGAATGGCTACTACTGCCTCCTCCTCTTCCTCCTCTTCCACTGCCTCCTCTCCCTCTTCCTCTTCCTCCGGTGGGCTTTCCTCTTTTTCTCCCTGCTGAACTCATATTCTCTTGCTGAGGAAGGGAATAAAATAGCTCTTAGTTACGAAGATGCTTTAGCACACTGCAAATGTCTGGGCAGATAAATAATCACACTATTTATTTTTTCAGTGTAACAAGAGAAGATACCCCCTCAACCCACAGTTAATATGTTGCATGTTGGTGTATCTGTATGCCCCCAAAGCAAAGCACATTCTTCTAGAACACTGTTAAACAAGTTCTGTGGTTTTAGAGAACAGAAGCGATATTCTTCACAGTTGTTCTACCAAAAACCGCAGGATCTCTGGCAAAAGGCTGAGCCCAACAGCAGCACTGCTTAGCCTGGGAGCTCCAACTGTGCCACTCTGATGGAATTTTTGTGGACATGGGAACCCAAAGGACAAACCTCCAGGGGAACTTTCACAGCAGAAAGCAGACACTTTTTGACTTGGGGAATTTGCAGGGCTGAGAGTAAAAGGTCAAAGGGGAGCTGAAGCCGAAGATACACTTTGCTTCCACATTAACTTGCTCTTCAGCAAGCTCTTTCTGCAAGGAGCTGCCCGCACGGCTGAGCACTCTGTGGAGCCTGGACAGAGGAGTGATTGGTGATCTGTCTTGGGAAACAGAAGCACTCCTCTCCTTTTCACAGAAGGATTTTCACCAGCTCTGACAAAAACCTATTAGTATTAAGCAGCTGCTGTCTGTGACAGAACAGCCCAACACTAACACATGCCCCAGGATCATGCTCCTGCAAATAGAAAGCTATTGCAGGGACAGGACACTCTGGCACAAGTTATTATCTTCATCTTTGCATCGGCACCTCCATAGCCAGGACAAGAACTGATGTGGCTATGAAAGAGTAACAGCCCAGATGAGGGCTTGGAGAGCAGCAACAGTTTGGGGCTTGGAGAGAAGCAACCCTCGCTTTTGTGGCAGTTCTCCCCACTGGAGCTTCACCGGGACTGGACAGGATTTAACAGACAGGCAGAGTCATAACTGAGGGAGGGCCAGAGGGTGGGCACGGCAGAGACGCAGAGACACTTGCAGCCGTCCCCGAGGACAGTGTCACTCGGGGTCTCCGTCTCCTTCCTCTCCACACCCAGCCCGGAGCCCCGCCACAGAACAGCTCCCTCCCAGGGACCGCTTCCCTGCCGACTCCTCCAGCACCTCCCCAATCCCTCACCTCACAGAGGGGTCCGGCCACCAGCACCCCCAAACCTCCTTCCCTCACAGCAAGGTCCGCGTCCCCCACCTCTCCCCATGTTCCCCTCAGCCCCCTTCTCACACACCCCACCCGCGCACCCACTCTCTCCACCCCGCCCTCCAAGGCGCCATTACGCGCACCCCGGGACCCGCCGCCCGCCATCCCCGGGGATACCGGCGGCTCCTCGCTCCGCTCCCACCTCTCCTCTCCGCTCCGCACCGGCCCGGCGCCACTTCCTCTGACCCGGAAGTTCTCGCCTTCCCCCTCCAGGTTTCCTGCCCCCCCTAGCAACCGTTCACACTTCCGCATGGCAACCACGGCCTGCGGCTGTGAAGGATCGCCCGCTCAAGCGGCACATTGACATCATGTGTGGTTTCGAGCTGCTGTGTGTTTGAATGTACGAACTTCAGCCACTGGTTGTAACAGTGACACCGGTGGCTTGGTTCTCAACACGTGCTGCACTTTTTAAAGTGTCTTTCCCATACCCCCAAAAAGACAGGTCTGGTAAGAACATGGAATAGTTTGGGTTAGAAGGGACCTTCAAAGCTAATCTGGTCCAACCCCCTGCAATGAGCAGGGACATCTCCAACTAGATCAGGTTGCCCAGAACCACGTCAGCCTGGCCTTGAATGTCTCCAGGGATGGGGCATCCACCACCTCTCTGGGCAACCTGTGTCAGTGTTTTACCACCCTCATTGTAAAAGATTCCTTCCTCATGTCCATGAATCCTCCTCTTTTAGTTTAAAACCATCACCCCTCATCCTATTGCAACTGGCTCTGATAAAAAGTCTCTTCCCATCTTTCATATATGCTTCTTTTAAGAACTGAAAGGCAGAAGTAAGGTCTCCCCAGAGCCTCCCACTCTCCAGGCTGAACAAGCCCAGCTCTCTCAACCTGTCTCCATAGGAGAGGTGCTCCAGCCCTCCGATCGTTTTTATGTCCCTCCTCTGGACCCTCTCTAACAGGTCCATATCTTTCCTGTACTGAGAACTCCAGGGCTGCACGCACATCTTCTAGTTCCTTTTTCAAAACTGGGTGTATAGGATTAAACCATAAGAAATCTATACCAGTTTCAGGGAGACGGTTATATGAGTGACAAGTGCTGGGGTCAACATGAAAGCCCTGCACAAACAGGCTGTGCACACAGAGAGGTAGGCATGGCCTTCCTGCACATCTGTATATGCCACACACACATCCCACCATGGAACAGGGGACCTCTGTATAACCATTGTTTAGCTGCCCTTGTTCACTGAGTTCTGCAGGAATGAATTAGTAAGTATAGGAAAATTGCTTATTTTATTGATGCTGGAGAGGAGACAGTCCTTGAAACCGAATAACAATATAACAAACTTGAATAACAAAGACAGATAAAGATCTGCAATTAGAAAATGGCATCTTGTGGCTTTATTAGATGCAGTTTGTCCTTTTTTCAGTATCTCATAAATATATATAAGGACTAATTTTATGGCACATAAATGCTTTACAGCACAGATTTAAAGTCCCAAGCGTGGCTTGGGCTGAAAGACTTGCTCCACTGAATGAAAATCCAGAAAAACGGATTAACCCCTGAGGCTGTCAGGGCAGATGAGTTACTTGCAGATTTAATGAGAAAATTAACCATAAAAAATGATATGAGAACATTCATGTTTTATTTTGGTTTAATTTTTCTTTAAGTACCTCCTCAGTGCAGTATCTGAAGTAAATCTAAAATGTGTGTTTGATAATTTGTGGCGTTTCATCAGAAAAAAAGCTCTGTCTTGCCCTGCTGACCAAAAATAGTAGCCACAATAGTCCTAGAAGGATGACCAATTCTATTTTTAAATAGATTAGACACCAAATGAAATACATGTTACAGAATGTACCTAGATACAAAATGGGAGCCTGTATGACAAATGTTTGGTGAAAAATTGAAGACATTTATTTCAGTACTTTAGAAGATTACATTAAGTTGTGCCTCTACTACAGGGAATTAAGACTTCTCTTTTTTGACACTGTTTTGTGACTGTTAATACATGCCACTCCCTGACAGCCCAATGACAGCTATCTTGCCAAGCTTCAGGATTCCTAGCTTCTTCCTGCTCACAGGAGATAGGAGTCAGTTCGCCAAATCACTGTGGCTTTTGTGGCAGAACATATATAGGCAGCACCATAGCAACTTGCTGCGACTTGAAGGTGGCTTAAATTTTTAACGGAAACAGATCTCCAGTAATTGATTTTAGAAGTTATTTTCCCCTCATTTGCAAGGGATGCAGATGCATAGGTATTTCTTATTTATAGCAGTTTTCAGGTACAATGATGAACTTGACCACAGATTTCAAAAATCAGGAGAAATACGTAGTTTACAAGGGCTGAATTCAGGACAGGAGGCTGTAAATCTTTGTCACAGCATCTTATATCAGGATAGGGAAGAGAGGATGGCGTTTTACACCAAGAGCACACAGTAACCGGTGGCATAAACTTACACATCTTTAAGATGCCCCTAATGAAATTCAGGGTAAACTTCATAGGACTTAATGCCTGGTAACTTCAAATCATGACTGGGACTACGAAGTTTTTCCCATAGAGGCTGCATGCTGGGATGTTGGTATAAATACACTTTTTCAAAGAAAGGAATATGTCCTTTGGCTCTCTAACCTGTGTGCTTTGTAGGTGAGAACTTTCACAGACTGCAGTGAGGGAGAAAGTTAAGGCAGGTATTTACTCTACACTGGGAAGGTTCTTGTTCTTGGCAATTTCCTCATTTGGGTAATGCACACATCATCATACTGCCACAAAGTGACAGCATTCTCAACAGGCTGGATTCATGTCATTATAGGATGGCAAGAGAAGGATGGAAATGCAGTGGAGTGGCACATTTCATGGCACATTTCATGGCTAGGCACCAATGGGGCTGAAGCAGAAGTTGTAAATGTGACTGTTCAGTATGGACAGTAGCATGGGTTAAAGGCAGCTCTCTAATTGCATTCTGGGCTCAACAGCTGTGACCAGTTTTCAACAGGCATTGATTGATTTCTTCATTATTTATTACAAATAACCACTGAGGATGTTTAACTTGTCCTAGGAATGTCTTTCAAAGAAAAAACCTGTCATTGAAAAACAGTGCCTAATTTATACTCAACTTTTAGAACTTTCTCCAGAAAACAAACCTCACCACCCACAGAAGCTTCTTTCTGCAAACACAGTGCTCCTATGATTATGTTTACCTTAAGCCGGATGTTGCATAGCAGGGTCAGGGCAGAGAACAAGTGCAGTTGGAATGTGGTCGTTACTCCTCACAGGTCAAGACCCATAAACCCCAGCCTCTGATACCAGATTGCTCAAGGACAGACCTCTGCTATGGGGAAAGGAAGCAGACAGGAGAAGGCACAGGGGAGACCAATCACTGTCTCTGTCCGATCAGAAAGTCTAATGCAATGAAATACCCATTTTATTTTTGTTTGCCTCATCACAGGTCTCTGCACTATGAATCTGAAAATTTTGCCTTACAAAGTAGAAAACCTGCTTTCTAGTTTGTTAAAAACCCCACACAACATACCAGTGTTGTCAGGGAAAAATGTCTGTTGAGTGTTCACTTGCCAGATATTTAAGGGAGTTCTAGTAAATACCTGTCCTTGCTTCAATTTGCAGACACAATGTATAAATACCATTCCTTCAGAAGTGCTCTGAAATACTCAGCTAATTTTTCTAGGATTAGGAAAAATCTTGGGCTTTGTGGTTTATTAGCAAAATAAAGCCAAGCACATTATCAGCAGACTGGAACATACTGGGCCATCTGAAATAAAATGGCTCATGGATCATTTGGCAATATAACACTTTTCAGTCTTTTGTCTTAAAGCTGCCTGCAGGAAAACCTCTATTTGAAATGTTTTGTTCACAGATTTGTGAAGCTATATGTTTTTATTTATTTTTTAAATCTTTCCAAGCTTGAGCTGTTTGTTGAATTCACACCAAAAATGCACTTCCCAGCAAACTCCTTCAGAATTATCATTTTATTTTGTTCAATTTTATTGTGTTTTGTTCCTAAAATAGTCCAAAAAAAGAAATACAGAATCCCTGTCCCTAGTCCTTGACTTCAGAGGTAGCAGCATCTTCCACACAGCATTAATCTGTGAGCCTGTCCTCCATGGCAATTACACTGATTTTAGGTTTTTACATCTCAGGTTTTCTGCCTGAAAGATAACTTGAAGCAGAGCTTTGCCTTTTAGGGAGAAATCAGTCTGGCTTTTGTTACTGTGCCTCCTTTATGTCTCCCTGCACTTATGCTTTGGAGTATCTCACTGGATTGGTTCAAACCTTTTCCTGACACCCACAGCCTTGGGTTACCTGCATTCTCCTCTGCTTTCTTGATGCTCTTTGGAGTAAAAAGTCCTGGAGGACCTTAGTGAAGAAACGGAGCAGGTTGTGGAAGGCTTCTGCCTCCCACTCTCCCACCTTACTCCAAGCTTTTATTTATTTTTACTCAAAGGACATTTTTCATGATCCAACAAGCAACAGAACATACAGAAATGCTAATAGTTTCTACTTTGGCAACCTTTCTCTTGTCCCTGAATGAAAGAAAGGGTGCCCTTTGGCCCTGGCATCCCTCATGAGGCTATGCATGGTAGGAGACTGAGGGTGTCAGGGAAAGCAGGGAGGAGCTGGTCCCGTCACCCTGTCCCCAGCTGCAGGATACCTGGTTTGGTACTTAAGGAGGTACTTCAGAGCCTTGGAGCTCAGGGAAGTATCAGAGACATCACATCAGCTCCCACCACGTGGCCCACTCTGCCCATCGCTTCTCAAGGCTTCTAACCCTCCCTTCACAGCAGTGTGCAATTCTAATTAAAGAGGAAAAAAAAAAGTCAGTATCATCCCAGCGCACAGCCCTGATTACCGCATGGGCATGCAAGGATGTGACCCAAAGATTACATAATTAGAAGGCATTTGTTATGCTTGCGTTTCAAATCAGTGATTAGCATGTGACAGTCCCATCCCGGGAAACGTCAAACCACCATTACTGTTCTCTCTCCTTTCCTGCACAGTGCTAATTCCCAACTCTGGCAACCGCCAGTGCTGAAGGATCTTCAGACAGCCTGGGGTAAGTTGAAACTATACGCGGCGTGGAATGAAGAGTGGGACTAATAATAGTTTTTTGTATTATTGGGAAAAGCTAGAGACATCGCTATTTAACATTGCATGTGCAGTACATACAATGGTATTTAAAGTATTTTGCATCTTATGTGTCCAGTTATTTCCAGCTGATTTCTTCTGAGACTGTGTATAGAGATCTAGCTTCTTAGTGTGCTGGAGAGTCTTGTGAGGCTGCATTTATAGTAAGGTCTCTAAAATACCAGGTTAAAAAGATGTTTGGTTTTTTCTGCTGTTAACATTTAAGAGATAAATTGCGGTATCATGCTGAACTGAAGTGTCTGAATGACAGCTGGAGACAAAGCATGAGAGTGGTGAGAGTAAATCACTAAATTTTTGCTCTCTGTAGAGGACTGAGGTTTGTTCTTCGAGTGGGCTACTCAAAACCAGCCAGCAATCTCAGCCAGCAGGATTGAGACGGTCACCAGGCAGATCCCAAGCTTTTATTTAGGACAATTGTGGATGTCTAACAACTGAAGCAGCAAAAGTGCATACGGATTTCCTTGCATTGTTACCCATGTCATGATTTCAGAAGCAGAATGGGACAGAAAGCCAAACAGACAGTTACTGTTGTCCATCAAGGCTAGGCTGTAAATGCTTTACTCAACTTTGCCTGTTTGCATGCTGATGCTTGGGTTATTTGATCACTCTTTGTAACAAGTGATCATCTCCACAGCTGATTGCTTCTCCCAGTTGTGCCACTCCATGTAGGGGGAGCACTGGAAGGGTGAGCATGGTCATACAAACGCAGCACAGGCTGCAGGACCTACCTCCTCTCCCTCTCTCATGCACAGCTCTATGTGGGAATCCCATCTCAGGGGCACGTCACTGTGGTCTTTGACCCTGTGCCTAAAGCATAGCTAGAGAGGGCAAACCCTGGGACCTCCCCAACCACCCACACCTTTTCACCATTTTCTATAGGGATCTCATGGGAAGTGGGAACTGGCTCAGGCTCTGTTAACTTTCACATGCCTTCTGCTCTGCACTGGGGGGGCTGCAGTGCCAGCTATAAGGCATCAGGGCAGTATTCTTTGCTGCACACTAGTGGCCAGAATCATGGCAATCACTAGTGTCAGAGGTGGCACAGCTTTGGTTCTTGGGCTTGTCAGATTTGGCTGCTGGAGGGAAGATAGAGAGAAAAGAGGAAAATATTTCCTTTAGCCATGATGGAGGAACCTGGTGGCTTTAACACCCTGAAACTATTCTCTGGGTTTTGCTCTGAAGATGTCATTTTAGCTGTATGAGAGCTGCAGGAAGGTAAATGTGTTTTAATGCTCAGCTCTGAAGAAACAAGAACATCTTTGTCATTTCTTGTCCTTAAAGTAGGGGGGGGCATAGGCTTGGATTGCACGCCAAGACAGTCTGATGATGGCTTCATGAGACTGGTTGTTGAACCTGTCCAGTGGGAAGCTTGCAGAGGGACAATAACACATCCTTGTTCATGAGAAAACTACCCTGCGGTGGGCTGGCATATGAGGCAAACCTTATGAGGCAAACCTTGTATTTGCCAGGGTTAGAGGCCTGATGGTGGTTTAGGAAAGCAGCCTTATGGAGGACTTGCTTTTAGTTCCAGTGTGCACATGCATTCATGTGGGACCATAGTGACAGGACAAGGGGTAACAGGGTAAAACTTCAACAGGGGAAGTTTAGATTGGATATAAGGAGGAAATTCTTTACTGTAAGGGTGGTGAGGCACTGGAATGGGTTGCCCAGGGAGGCTGTGAATGCTCCATCCCTGGCAGTGTTCAAAGCCAGGTTGGACAAAGCCTTGGGTGGCATGCTTTAGTGTGAGGTGTCCCTGCCCATGGCAGGGGGGTTGGAACTTGATGATCTTAAGGCCCTTTCCAACCCTAACTATTCTATGATTCTGTGATTCTATGTGTGTGCATGTGGGAAGGGGTTAAGGGTATGGGGTTTGCTGAGTACTGAGAAAAAGAGATGAAGGGGGGGGATCCTCTTGCAGTTTTTCACTGCCTCAAGGGAGCAATAAAGTAGACAGAGTTCACGTTCTTCCCAGAGGTGCACAGTGAAAGGCAGTGGGCACAAGCTGCAGCAAAGGGAAATCCTGACTGCATGTAAGGAAAAATATTCTTCCCCAGGATACTGGAGGAAATCTTCAGACCTGAACTGGATACAGCTTTAAGGAACGTATGTAGTTTGGAGTTAGCCTTGAGCCAAACAGGAAGTTGGACTAAAGATATACAAGGGTTTCTACTCACCTAGGCTCTGCTGTGAGGTGATGACTTGTTCACTGCCAGCAGAGGCAGGATTTGACCAAGCAGCCCACATCAAGGGTCTTAAGGCCAGAAGTCAATCCTATTTTCCAATCCCTTTCCCTTTAGGAACAAGCCTGACACTGCTCAGTCAGCTCAGGCTGACTAAAAGCCTTGTCCCTGGTAAGGACAGTGTTAACAGCTTCCCTACCTGGCAGTCAGGAAGAGTAGAGGACAAGGCTTCACTCCAAACCATGGTGAGGTGCACATTTTGCTTGGTTTAGTGATGTGGAAGGAAGTTTTGCTCTGTGTATTCAGCAGTTCAGAAGAATGAGGGACTGGCAGGCAATGTTATATATATCATGGAGTCCAGCAGTGATTCCTTAATGTAAAGTAGCCACTGTAATGCAATTATTTGATCTAACAAAGAACAGAGGGGTGACTCAGGAAATTGCAGTCTGCAGCCAGAGGACACATGAAAGACAGTAACTCCATAACTGTAAGCAGGGAAAATTTTTGGACCCACTTAACCAAGGTCAACCTACTTTGCAGTGCAGTCATATAGCAGAGCTGGTGGTGCTGGAGCAGAGGGGATGGCGGCATCCCCAGTGTCCCAGTTTCAAACCCCACTTCTGAGCTCTGCAGAGGACAGAGGCTGTGCTCAGACATTGTCCTTGTCTGCACGAGTGTTAAATCTCCATTGCTTTGACTTCCCTCTATTAAGGAAAATATTACTTGTGATGATAGCAGGAACTCACAGTGTTTTTATAAAAGAAGATACAATGCCAAGGGCATATCTTCCAGCCCTTTGTGGCCCTGAAAGTGCATGAGAACAGAAGATAGGTAATAGGGCAATGACACATCCTCATACAAGCCCTTCTTCTACAAGTATTGCTTCACTGTCATTAAAACCTCATGCAGGTTATTTTTCTCTGTATCAGACAAACTTCATTCTTTGTCATCACCTGTAGCACAGCAGAGGGGGAAATGCCCTCCTGTGAACTTCTCCTCCATGAGAACTGCAGGTTTCCATGTGTTAGGGGAAGGTAGACACAGGTATTCTTTGTGTTGCATCCCTCAGTCTGAATCACCATCTGTGAGACTGGTGGCATAGCCCTGGTGATGTGATGGGCAAGGGAACATGCCCAAGTGGGACCTAGACAGAGACACAAGCATTTTGAGATCTCAGATGGCCTGGGAGGAGCTGGTGGAAGTAGAGAGCACTTGATGGAACTTAATTATACTATAATTCTGTCTTTTCTTCACCTTGGATGTCTGCCTTATGCATTGTTTCCTCATGTATTACAGTCCTCTGACTTCCCCATTTAAAGCTGTGCAGCAGCATGGGTTAGATATTCTCATTTTGGCATTCTCCCACAGTAAATGATTTTGGTACTGGCCAGGTGTGGTCACCCTGCCTTGAGAAGGCCAGAGGTACCAATGTCACATTGTCACCAGAGATTTAGGAAGCCCCAGAATAATTGAGCCAGTGAATAGTAAAATTATAAAATCTTTAAGACATACCATGCAGTTAGTGTATTTAATGTATATTAATATAACTAATTCCATACTAACTGATGTTTGTTAACTTTTGTTATTGATAGATAACAATTATATACTGTTATGCTGCTATAACCGGCATGGTAAAACATTAATAATATAAAAGTAGAATGGGTAAAAATATGCACATGTTTTTATTACCAAAAAAAAGAATTTCCAGCAAAAAGCTGTGCCAAAGTTTATCACAGGTGAGGTTTATGTTTCTCTCATATCTGTTTTGCCTTTTCTATGTATTCCTTTATCCCCAGCATTGCAGAAACAATTCTGACTTTTTAAAACAGTTCTCAGTGTTAAACAAGCTGGTCCCAATAACAGAAGCCTCATGAGTTTGCTATGGCATTGACTAGACTAAGCTGGAAGCAAAGCTTAACAGCTTTGCTACTAAACAAGCTACTACTGAAGCTGAAGTTGAAGGTCTGTTTCTCTCAGAGGCCCAAACTCAAGTACCTGCTCCTCAAAACTACTAGAGAGGAGGTTTAGCTACTTTAAAAATGACTGCATATTTATGTGTTTCAGAAGCAAATCGTGTTCTTGCCAGTCTGGATACCTATGAGAAAAAAAATTTATTTATTTATTTATTGATTTATTCCTAAAGAGGACTGGAGCACACAGCATAGGAGAGGCTGAGGGAGTTGAGTTTGGTCAGATTGGGAAAGAGAAGGCTGGGGGGTCCTACAGCCATCTGCAACTACCTAACGGGCCTTATAGACAAGACAGTTGGGCTTTTCTCACAGAAACAATGAAAGGATAAATTACTGAGGGCACAAGCTGCAGCAATTGAAACATTGGCTGTAACGAGAAACATCTTGCCCATGAGAGTAGTGCAGCCCTGGGACAGGCCCGGAAAGGTTGAGAAGTTGCCAGCCTGGGAGACAGTCAGATCTGGACTAGAAGTGGCTCTGAGCAATCTGATCCAGCTTTGGGGTTAGCCCTACTTTGAGTCGGGTAACTCCAGAGGTCCCTGGCCATCTAAACTCTGCCATGAGACTTAGAGACTTCAGAACAGGAAAATTACTTTTACACCATTAGCTGATAGAAAACAGATTAAATAAACTATTGCATTTATCTTACTGTAACCAGGTGCCCACCTAGAAGCTTTCCCAGCCTGTTTGTACAAAGCCTACATCCAAAGTCCCTCCAGTTTGGCTCAGACTTTCCAAGTGTCACCAAACGATCCTCTGTCCTGAGCAGACAATGGATCTTGTAGGAGGACATCACATAAGCAGCTCTCTTATAAATAACACATTTATCCTTTCATTAATCCTCAATCTCAGGAAGATGCAAACTCCCATGTCCCCCCAGGACTGTGCTCTGGAAGCCTTCCAGTCCTCATCATACCCTCAGCAGGAGGCTGGCTGTGTACGCTATTGGCTGTGCCACTCTCAGCCTGACCATATGAGGCATCCCTTGCCACAGCTCAGAAACACTCAGCATCACCCCATCTCAGGGGCCCTGATGGTGCCATCACCCTCCCCCCTCAGGAACTCCACACTGGAAAGCTATCAGATCAAAAGTGTGTGGCACCTAAGCTATGCTCCTGACTGCACCAGAACAACTGCTTCTGCAGCCATTTCCTAAAGCCACCAGGGCTCTTGCATCTTTTGCATCTCTCCCATCTATTTAATGCTATATGCCTTTCTCTGTGCCTGCTTCCCTGTAAATATCACCCCAGGCTTCTCTGAATCACCACAGCTCTCCTGGCAGAGCTGTGTCAGCAGAGCTTTGTGCCATAATTACACTGGCCCCTCCAATCCCATTAACAAAGCTAATGATAACTCACAACAGCCTTGGGCATATCTATGTCAGACAGGAATGGAGGTGTGAGGTTATTCTAGAGTCCTAAATCACATCTGGTTTCCTAGTAAGGCTTGACAAAAGCAGACTTGAATTCAACCCTGGGGAGAGGAAGCATGGATGTGGGGCAGTGCCCATGCTGATTAAGTGTTAGCTGGAGCAATCCATTTTTGGGGGGCTCTGCCTGAGCCATTAACCAGGCATTATCTAAAGACTGTTTCCAAAGTCCTAACTCCATTACCAGACTGATGAGATGCTTTACCAAGGGATTGACTAGGTTTCCAGAGAGGCTGCAGCTCTACACACTGAGGTGGCCTTGCAGCACTCCTGTGCCTCAAAAAGTCAGGGAGACAACTGGCAGAGAAAGCAGTACAAGCACGTCCAAAAGTGCCAGCAGGATTGTACAGCAGCACTGTGAAGGCAATACCTCTGTGTCCCAAACATAAGTTTGGAGGACATTTTGGGTGATTAGTTGCATAGCAAAAAGCTGGTTCTTTGATGCAGAGCACCCATGCAAGATGTTTATGTTCCGTTCAGAGTATGTCTCATTTTACTTCTGTGTTCATACAAGAAGCATCTTGCTGAGCAAATAGTCTCTGCGGGATTACATAGAACCTCTTAATCACCCATCCACATAAATACAAACTTCCTTGGGCTGGGAGGGAAGTGTTTGCTTGGATTGGCACCTATTCTGCTTGTGGAGGCACTGTGAACCCAAAGAGACCTTTAAGATGCCTCATTCCTTCTCAAATCCCTACTCCTCTGCCCTCTGTTTTCTGAATTTTGAGCATCTCTGCTCAGTAAACCCTTTCTGCATCTTTCTGCACTCAGGGTTCAGACCAGCTGACCCATCGCAGGGCTCACATGTGGGCAGCTCTAAGCCATGGGATGTTCCCAGTGACCAGCCAGAACCTTCCAGAGTAAGGACAGGAGTCCCTCCGAGGACGCACACCCTATAGCAGCCATGGACTCAAACAAACAAGAAGGTAAAGCATCCTCTTATTTCACTTCTTGATAGTATGAAAGACAGCAAGGAGGAAACCTGCTCTCGTATGAGCTGTCTGTTGGCAGCTAGCCCCTGAGAACACCTCTTAGCCATGGCAGCTTTGGGCAAATGTTCCCGTCTTTTAAATTCATAGAAATATCTGAGGTGTGAAGTTTTTATCTTTTATTTTATAAACACCTCCCTCTCCCCTCTGGAAAATAATCCTGTAGCATATGTAATGTCCACTGTGGGAAGTCATTCCTCTCTTGCCTTGGACCCATCTCTGCCTTGGGATGTAGAGAGACTTCTAACTATCAGACGCTTTGTCTTACATGAGGACACTGTGATGAGGATCTGCTTCTCCCCCCCACATGGCTTATTGCAAGGGATTCTTGTTCCTGTCAGTGCAACAACCCAGACTTCTGCACCAGTCATGATCTTGCAAGCACCAAGATGCATCCAGGCCACACTGCTTGCATGCAACCAGTCCTGCTACAGTCAGCAACACTTCTAGAAAGCCTGCAAAGCTCAGGGGTTTCAGGTCCAGGGTTTTAGTGGTTATCAGCTTTAAATATTCTTCTTACAGAGCAATGTGGGGCTGATAGTACTTGCTTCTCACCTCAAACCCCTTGCAGCATTATCCTCTGCCTTGCTACTTCAGAGGTGACTATGTCCATATGCTGAGAAACTATGAGGAGCAGGGGGAGCAAATTTAGGAGTGCCCATAACTGTCAGGTCAGGAGAGAGCCTGAACTATCTCTTTACCTCTTAGAAGATGCTTGGTGGTGCGAACATTCATTCATGGCATAGGTAATGGAAGAGTTAATTTCTCTATTATTATTATTCTAATTTGATAAATTAGGTCTGTGTACCTCGGCCCCTGCACTACAGTAGCCTGGAAAGGAAATTAACTCAGAGATCTTTTCCAATTAATTGGTATGCCCCCATGGGCTGCAGATGTTCACTGCAGAAATTGGGAGATAACCACAAATCCCCTTTCTTCCCACAGGGCAACTGTGAGGAGCCTCCTCTGCTCCAGCTTTTAGCAGTGACTTTAATAGCAATTATCTGGGTTTTGACAGAGAACATGCAGACAGTGCTTCTGCTCATGCTCATGACAAAGGTGGGAGGTAAAATCAAGGTAGCAGGGATCCTTTCCCCTCGTCTGGTCTTGCTCAGGAGGAGTTCTTTGCTTTGAGTTTCTCCAAGGACACTACAGACTGATTCCTATCCAAACCCAAATGAAAGATCCAGACTTCTTCAGTGCTTGGGTCCAGCCCTTCCAAAGAAAATGTGAGGACAGGTCATTGCTCTCTCTTGCTGCACTGCTGACTCCTCCAGACCTCCACAAAGCTCAGCATTCAATATGCCCATCACCGTGCAAAACCAGCTTCTCACTGTCCTCCCAGCACCTGGTTTGTATTGTGCTAATGATTAAGAAACATGCCTTTTTGCTCTTTTTGGGTCAGTCATTACCATCCAACAGTAAGGGTCCAGCAGTAACATTTAAACACCATCTGCTTTCTCAAGCCCCAGTGAGGCACCATGAGAAAGCTTCATCATTCACTTAAGGTCAAAAGTCAGTTTCGAGTTTGTGAAGTTGCAGACAAAGTTTAGCCCCAGAAGGGCCAAAGCTGAAAATGAAAACAACTTGTCATTTAAAAGATGAAACTTGGGACTTGGGCTGATGAGATTTCACCCCAAACAGCTGGCTCTTTGAGTTCACAGTTACTTTTCCTAGTCAGCCTCCTACCCCTTGTTTTCTACAGGAGGAACCTTAGAGGATATTCCCTGGAGGGAATCACTGTCTGACCCTGCTAACCTACCCCTCCCCAGGGCTGCAGAACCAGCCAGCATGAGGAGAAAGCAGTACATAGCCAGAGAGGGGCGTACAGCCTCTCCTCCCCCTGCCTCACACTCCTGTGAGTCACTGGGGAATCACAGATTCATAGAATAGTTAGGGTTGGAAAAGACCTTAATTTGCTCCTTTTCCTCTGAATCAGGACAAATCCTAAGGACCAGAACAGGGCCAATTCATAGGTGCCCTTGGCAGTAACCCATATTCCCCCGCAGGGGGGGAAGAAATCAGAACGTGTCTGCCTTGGAAATCTCTGACTTCCAGGCTTCAGCTTTCTACTTCACTTACTGTCTGACTGTGTAAAGTCCTCCCTGCACCGTTTTCAAGCCTCTGCAGGACTGAATTTCTGTGGTGTTAAACGCCCAGGTGGGTAAGGGACTTAACATCTGCAGCCAGCATGGAAAGAGAGAGCTTGGCACCCCTAGAATTGGGCATGGGATCACCAATCATGTCTGCGACTGACAGCAGAGATGGGTGAAGCAAATTCTTTGAGGCAAGTGGTCTCATGAAGTGACATTGCCAATGAAAGGTGACTCAGATGAAGAACTGGGTGGCATGGTGTTTCCTGGGAGCAAAGGCCATCTTAGGGAATAACATGGAAAACAATGGCTATTTGACTGTAATTCCCTCAAAGTGCAGTGATAACTTCTATTGGATAACTGGTTTCTGCAGTGAAGAGACAATGTTAAAAGACGAAATAATATATTTAGACTTCTTGGTTTCAGTCCTCATCAATCCTCAGAACTCATTAATGCCTAGAGACAATGTCTCTGAAGTGTTCAAAACACTTCTGAAAAATAGATATAAGCTCCTCCATGAGCTAAGTCTGTTAACCTAGGACTTAAAATATACAGATCAGACTTTTGTGGAGATAACAGAAATATGTACAAATAGAGTAAAGGATAAAATCCACAGTTTCAGAAGGGGGAGGGATCAGTGAGGCTTTAGGGGGAAAACCCTGTTACTTAAGGCTGGTACACAGCACTGAACTTCACAGGGAGCAAAGTAGCCCTGTTTGCACATACAAGGTTTCTCACCCCTTCACAGGGATCAGCTTTATTCAGACACAGGACAGCAAATGAGGCGAATTTAATGTCTGTTTTATAACTGCAGCTTAATTTACAAATGATATGGTGTTCACACCTCCTAAAGTAAGACTTGAGTCCTTTAAAACTGATTTGTACCTCAAGAGGGACTTCAAACCCTCTGTTCCAGTTATTTATAGCAACTATAATAAGTAATTTTAATTGACTGAAGTTCTTTATTCCCACAGGAGAGACTGAAAGTGTGCCTGTGAGTACCCCTGCAACACAGATTTCCCAGGTAAAGATGAGCAAAATGCTCTAAATAACTCCAAGAGTTTAAAGAGTTACTGATAGATAAATAGTAGTTAAAAAGCTAAATAAGTGGAAGGAAAAATAGAGACACTTACAAGGAACATGGCAACTAAAACGTGCACACTGCATGGATGAATGTTATACATCTTGGGCCTCATCTTAAAAGACACTCCAGTTGTGTTTAGACGGGTGATTGTGAGCTCAGCTAATTAAATAGCTGGTATCATTAGCATCAATTAGAGAAAGTCAATTCACTGGGCTGGAGGGAGATTTCATGGCTAAACCTGATTAACTGTCCCAGGAGCAAGGATGTGTTGATTGACATGGGGTGGGGGTGTCTTCCCCAGCAGGGAACCAAGTCTCCTGGGGGCTCTGGCAGCTCCTTGGACCATGGGGTGCTCTTCTTGCCTGATAATCCAGACCAGCCGGGCTGGCCAGAGCCTTGAGTCTTGCTGCATTTCTCTGTCTGGCTCCCCAGCCAGGAGCTTGGAAACCCTGTCTTTGAGTCTATGTCGTTTCAAGGTGAACAGGACTTCCCGAGCTCTGTGGCCACTCTTCATGTTGACATTCTTGCTGCTATCAGCCACTACAGATGCAACAAGATTGTCTCTGCAAGGGTTGCATCCTTCCTGTAAGATGCAGTTTCAGTGTTTCCACAGTGATGTTTCCTAAGCATTTCCAGTCTGCAGGAAACACAACAGAGTTTTGAGCACTTTAAACTTTGGTCTGCTTCAATATGGAACCGTACTCTGAAAGACAAGCATACCTGTGAACTGGAAACCCTGACTATTTGAGCCTTCCCTTGTCACCATTGCAACACTAATGCCTGTAATTGCTTTCAAGTGCACCATGGCAAGTGGAGAAGATACTGCCTTCCATTAACTAGCCAGTACTTCTCTTGTCACGTCCTCTTTTCCCATCCAGGCAGCTCCAAGCAGGATCTGTGACTGGATTGCTGAAGGGCCCAGCACAGTGGATACAACATGTACACATGCTGCTTTCCAGAAAAACCCTGCTAAGATGTGGATACCCTAATGAATCTTTCAACCAAGTTACCAGCTGGCTGTCCCCTTCTGCTTCAGCAAGGGCCCTATGGACACTGCAGTTACCAAAACAGACTGCACAGATGTGAAACAAGAGACAATAGTGCTTGCAGCCCCCTTTAAGTATCTCCATCCTTCTCTTCTATCCTTACCATGCTGCTCTGCCTTTATTCCTATCATGCTTACCTAGGAGTATAAATACTGGATATACTCCTAGGGCCAGGTTCTCTGCCACTGTAAATAAGCACAGCTCTGCTGCTTTCCTGCTATGAGGTTTTGCAAGCCTTCCTGATGCTTGGCTGTAGAAGTGCTGCCCTTAGACATAGGAGTTAGTAGCTGTGCTAGAAATTGGTTGTTCCCTGGTAGAAGCATACACCATGCAGCTCAGAGAAATCAGTTCCAGGCTTTGTGGCAACTGTTGGACTTTGTCTCAGCTTAGTTCCAGGCAGTGTCCTCAGGCAGCCTTCTTTTTGGGTGACAAAATGTTTACTTTCTTCTTCAGATCAGCTACATAAGATGATGTGCAAAGTGATGGATAGTAGATAAGGTGGGCAAAGTTAATAGGCAGTACTTCTTCATGGCTGCAGGCGGTTTTGCTCTTTTCTAGGATATATTTATAGCAACAGAATTATTCCTCTGCAGAACTTCTTCATCTTGAGATTGTTTTCCACCGATTTTGACAGGCTTCAGCTGAAGGTTCCTGAAGGCAGGCTCTGTTCTAGTGTAAGGACCTTAGGGCAGCTGCCAAGGGCAGCAGATGCAAATAGCCATTCTTCTGGAGACACAGAGCTCTGGACAGCCTGGCTATTACTGAAGGACATATCTGGGGACACATATACTCATGGAAGTAAAGTTTCCCTCTCACCCCTTCAGTGGCAGCCAGGGTAGCAAACCCAGCTCCCCAGGATTGCCCTCTGCTTTCAACCCCAGCCATTCCTTCCATAAGTCAACCCTGTATCCTGTCCACGACCACCTTCCCTGAGCAGCCTCAAAGTCTGAACAAAGCATTAGACTGCATGGACAGTCACCATCTACTGCAAATGGCTTAAATTGCTGGCACTCACTGAGGAAGGATGGGAAGGCTCTACAGTTTTGCTGCCTCTGGTCCCAGAAGAAACATCAGTCCTGTCTACCCTTCGAGGACAGTACAACAGAGACAAGTAGAGGCTCAGCAAAGGAGATTTCACAGCTGGTTTCTATATGTGTATACATATATGTGTGTATATATATATAGAGAGAGACATATATATCTCCACTCTCTGAAAGTAAAGTCAAAACCAGGCTGAGAAATGTTCCCCATATATCTTCCAATCTCACCCTTCTCCTCCCCTCTAGCCATCATCACTTCCTCCACATTGTCACAGTTCCCCCATGTTAGGAAATGTTTACTCCCCTCTCCAGGTGGACTACAATAGAGCATTCATATTCTCATTGTGCTAGAGGGCAAGTGAGAGTCACAAGTGCCTGCTTCCCAGTGTCTTATTAATCAGTCATGTAGGGAGAGAAGGAGAACCCTTCATTTCCCTATGGGCAGCTACCAGGAGAGCGCAACAGAGTTACTTGGTCTTGTTAAGAGATTTTACTTGCATGGCTTTTCCCCACAGAGCTGAAAAATATCATGGGAGCAGGTAAAATAGGAGTCATGCTCCCCAGCAAAGACATAATCTGCTAAACATGCATGATGCTGGATCCCTCAGTGCATTGCTTTGTCAAGTTTGAGAGCCACACTCCAAAGGCAAGTGGGGATTGAAATGTGTATCTTAACCTAAATTATTTAGGTGTCCAAATGCTTTTTTGAACAGCTCTTGGACATGTTCTAAGGACTCCCTGTGACCATGCAGATTCACTTATCCTCTAGGCATTAGTTCAACTTCACTTGTTAAGGTGTGTTCCTTAACTTCCACAACTTAAGTACTACAGTTTATTTATTCCATGAATAGGTGAGGCAGAACAACACATTACAGTTAAGCTGTTGCCAAGTTTCTGTGCTAGTATAAAATCTGTCTATTTTATATGGTATGTGTTGCAGTTTAGAAGCACTGAATTGGTTTAACTTTCCAGGGGTTCACAAACCTGTGAAATGTCTCTGGTCCTGTAGACATAACTTAGGCAAGACATAAGCATGAGCTGACGCTTCAGCAGCTTCCATTTTCTGCAACAGCTGAGGGGATTTAAAGGGTGGTTTTCTACAGCGTGTCATTAAGAAGGAGCTCAAACCAAAATCCATGGTTCAAGCACTACACTGTGCTTGGCAGGAGTTCAAAGAAAATATGTTGTTCCTGTGCCACTCACTTTTGCATCAAACTTGCACCCAGTGCCACAAGGCTCTTAGTGTTTCCTTTCTACTCTCAGCGCTGATGGCAGTGGAGAAGGGAGTTCTCAGGGTTTCAGCACTTCCTGTCCAGCCATACAAGCCCTGGCAGATATGGCTGATTTGCGTTGCTTGCTGCTTTTACCCATCAAGTATCAACAAAAGGAAATGCAAGTGCAAGATGCATTTCAGAGTTTGAAATTGCCACTGCAAGCTGCATGGGGCCAAGGAAGGATGTACTGGGTAGGGCAGACCCAGGCTGGGGTCTGGAGCACAAAGGATACACAAAAAACCAAGCTAGCACTGTGACTGCAAGAGCATATTGGCCAACAGTGAACCCCAAAATAACAAGTGACTTTCTGCTCTTAGAGGGAAAGCCTATTTTATTCTAGTCCCAATTTTTCTTTTGGCTGTCTGAACTCTGCTTTCACAGAGCATTTCGGTGCACGTGGATACTGAAGTCTCTGCAGTAGTCCCTTTTTACTGACTTTTGCTGATGTCTAGCAGTTCTTGAATCTGAAACCTCTAGATGAGCAATGACTCCAATCCCTGTACCCTTTACAAAGGATCTGTCTAGTTTACACCCTTTCTGGAAGCATATGAGGAGGATACGGCCAGGCCTATGGGCAAAACCATTTCATTTTTGGTTATCCTCCCCAGCTGTTATTATCTCCACGGCCAGTTTCCAGACTGCTCCACTTTGAGGCTGTGACATCCCCATCCTCAAGCAGATTTCTGAAATGGTTAGCATAGGATACAACAGAATAGCATATTTCAGTTGGAAGGGACAGATCTGGTGAATCACTCCTTTTCACTTGGAGGAAAGTATGTGATGCCAAGCCCTGATGCAGGCTAGCAGGGAGACTCTGCCTTGGCAATGTCAGCTCAGTGTGGAAGTGTGGCAAGCACTTGCGAGCAGGCATGTGAATATGAACATTTTGCACTGCTGCAGCACTTGGTATCCCCCCACATCTCCAAGCATGGAGATGTGTCAGGATGTCTGATGATGCTAAGACCATCTGCCTCAACCCCTAGGCTGAGATAGCAGCAGCAGTATGGTCATTGCCTCCCCTAGCAGCCATGGCCCCAAGCAGCCCCTCTAACTTTTCAGGCTACACTCACAAGGTGACAATTCCTGTGATACTGTTGTGTCACAGGAAGGTGTCCACTGTGGCTAGAAAGGATGGGTGAAGGGGTTGAACCAAGGGGTCTGGAGCTCCAGCTGGCTTGGGGAGTCAGGGTTGACTGCCTGAAGAGGGAAGATGCCCTCAGCCTCCTGCTCCTCTCTGCCCTGTCCCAGCCTGTCAGTCCCACTCCTCTTAGCCAGGCAACTCTGGGAATGCGTGTCCAGCCAGACCAGACTGGGGACAGTGGGGTAAGCACTGGGGTAGGAGTGGGAATGTCAGGCAGACGTCCTCTGTAAAGACACTGTCAGTCTTGATCAGAGGAGGATGGTGCATGCCATTGCCCCAAGGTATCGGAAGCCATCTCTGCTCCATTTACAGGACTCAAGCGCCTGAGTTCCCCGGGGTGGCTGTCCTCTTACCATCAGTGCTCCAGTTTTGGACTCAGTTTATAACCAGATGTTAGGCCGAATTTCTGTTGTAAAGGTAAAAACCTGCGACCTCACCATGGGCTTTGTGCAGGCAGAACGAGCTCCTTGCTCACAGCAGTGGGGCAGAGTTCAGGGCTGCCAGCCCAAGCTGACCCTGAAGAGGGTGTCCCCGCTTAGCCCCCTGCTGCCTCCCCTCACTGCCCACCTCCACACTGCCTTGTCTGCTCGCTATGCCAGCCTGGCTCACCCTGCTCTGTCTCCTGCTTCATGCAGCTATCAACTGGCTGCCTCTAGCTTAGGTGGTGAGCTCTTCCAGCAGTGCTAGGGCCTCTAGGGACAGCAAACAGGGTGAGTGGGCACAGTGTCACTGTATGCCAGGGGAAAACCTCCCGCTCCCTCCCCATCATGAGTTAAAGAGCTGCCTCCTTGCTTGGAAAGGGCCTGCTGAACCAGGACAGAGCTTCTCCGCAGCCCTTGGAGAGCAAGGAGGTGTTAGACCTGTCTGGGGAGAGCACCAGCCCCACAAGCATGTGGGTGAGGAGGACTTGGTCAAAATGGACATATTCTTGATTGCTCAGCTGCTTTGGGGATTGATAAATCTGGCTGCTGTTACTGCAAAGCACCTTGGCATGTTTCAGGCTGTCCTCTCCTTCTACAGACTGACAGGCTGCAAACTGCCAGGGAGCCTGGAAAAACTCTAAATCTAAAAAGGGGCACACTGACTGCCCAAGACAAACACATCCTACCCTGTACTTGAGGCTGAAGCAGGGGACAAACCTCCCTCCATGTCTCCCAGCCATAATTGGAGGAGGAGAAAGAGGTCAGCACCTTACAGGATGGGTTACACCCAGCCTTCATGCCACTCTGAAGCATGGGTGACCCTCGGGAACACAGCCACCTGCATCTGGGAGGAGGGACTGAACCCACCATGTCTGTGGTTCCTCTAGTTGCAGGCATTAGCCTCTGAGTTGAAGGCGGGTTTCACAGAAGCGATGCAGGAGCTGTCACGGATCCAGCATGGCGAGTACGCCCTGGAGGAGAAGGTCAAGAGCTGCCGCTGTGCCATGGAAGAGAAAGTGGCTGAGATGAAGAATTCCCTCAACACGTTCAAGGTAGGAGTGTGACCCCCAAGGGGGCTGCATACCTGCCATGCTAGCTTGGGTGGCATAGGGCAGAATTCCCCTGCTTCCATCAGTCCTTCCTGCTTGCAAAGACAATGAGCTAGCAGTTGTTTCAGATATCTCTGGTGGTCTTCCTTTGGCTTTGTGTCTCCCTGACTACCCCAGCCCAAATGTAGCCCATGCCCTGGCCTGTTGAGCCTTCTCGATGGGCCACGAGGCAGTGCTGTGAGCTGCTCTGGGCACAAGCAACCCTTGCTTGGGGCTGCACATGCAATAGGCACATGGCCTGTTCACAGGGCCTCTGTGCAATATTTCTCCCTGGGCCAGGTCTCTTGCATTTCCTGCAGTAACCCAAGCTGCTGTGGAGCAGGGAATTAACACAAAACCCTACAGCCTTTTGAAGTTGCATTCCCACATGACTGGGAGGAAGCGCTACCTGGTTTCATCCAGTCCAAGAGAATAAAGACAAAGGACTGGAGAGAGACTATTAAGAAGGCTTCGTGTACACTAAACCAACCAGCACCTCCATGCAGAAACTGGATGACTGCCTGTGAGGAGATGGGCAGAGAAACTATTTTATTGTTTTTATGATAGATCTTCCCCATGGGGTTTTGCTGAGTCAGTAATACCTTGTGAAGTTAAAAACGGCTGCTTACTGGAAAAGCCTGTTACTAACCCTCTGACAGGGAGACGTGGATAGCACCAGGCAAAAGCAGCCCTGTGGTCCCAGACAAGCAAAGGAGAAAACAAGAAGTGTCACCTCTGCACATGGCAGAGGTCTCAAAGCTACCAGAGGCAGGGTTACCCACGGCATTGTTCAGAGGTAAAAAGGGGTTTAAAAATCCAGACACAAGAAATTATGTAAGAAACAGGAGGGGTAAAAGCTGCTCTCTCAGCCTCATGCCCATGTTGACTGTCCAAATGTCAAGCTGCCAGTGAAGCCACTAGCTTGCTTGGGGAAAACCCCACTCCTTCAGTTTACAAAGAACTCTGTAGTCTCTCTCCTCCGTCCTGCTGCTCACACTGATGAAACCTGCAGGAACTTCCTGCATGAGAGAGCTCTACATTCAAGTAAAGCTTTGTGGAAACTGCCTGAGGGAGGATGTGCTGACAGGGAGGTTACGGAGGGCCTCATTTCCTTAGGAAAGCAGGCTAAAATGCCAGCTCCAAGGCCTGACTGGCAAAAGCTTACACATGTGAGTGATAAAACTGGGCTCTGAACCAACTGAAACGTGAATACACATGCTGGAGAACTGCAGAGGGTAACATGCTTCCTCAGGCCCACCTCCAAATGGCATTAAAGGCAGGAGTCCTCCCTGTGCTTTTAACTGGTGGTGGGTGAAGCCCCATGTCTCCATCTCCCACCAGTGCCTTAACCATGTGACATCACGCTGGCTTGGGTGAGTTGCCTGTAGTTGAATTAAGGATTGCCATGCAGTGTATTACACACACTGGACTTGCAAAGGAAGAGTATCTAACCACAGAGCCGCTCTCCCCAGCATCCTGAAGCTTGTGTACTGCATGCCAGCCAGCATTCAAAGCAGAGCTATGCAAGGCTGATGGGCACCCTGGGAATGCTGTGCTTTTGTCTGTTTCTCAGGAGGAGCTCAGCGATGCAAAATCAATGATTGAAGAAATCAGTGCCAAGCAGGAGGAAATGCAACAGAAAATTGAGCAGCTGCAGCAAGAGAAGCGGCGGGAATCACGGAAAATGAAAGCTAAGTAAGGGCACGAACTCCGAAGCTCTTCAAGTGCTCATTAGCAGTGGTGTCTGTTTTGTTAATTTCCTTATAGCTTCAATGTCTTAATCTTTTCCTGGCTGGACATGTGTATCAACCCTGATTTCTACTGGAAGCCCTAGCCTGGTGGGCTCCTGATGGTGCAGACATGCTCTGCTTTCCTGTCACCAGCCTTTTCTTCTCTGAGCAGGGTCATGCAGGAGCATGTTTGCATGCTGCTGGGCCACACTGTTGCTATGATGAAGCAGTCAGCTCGTCCACCTTGGCCCTAATAAACCTCCTTCCGAAAACTGAGTTTTGATGAGCATGCAGCTGCCTCGATGACAAATCTAGGCTAGCTCCTTAGCTAATTAAGCCATTTAATTAGATGAAAGACGCTTTGCAAAAGAGCAGATCTGAAATAACCTATAGCCAGTGGAAGTTACTTCCAGAACATTGTTCATAAACTACATCAAAGCCAACTCCTTTCCTGATCTCTGCTGGAGTTGTCCTACTTTTGACTCTGTGCTTATACTTACACTATTGTCTTCCACAGCAGCAACACAGGAGCTTCACCTGTAGCATTCATACTTTCCAACTGTCTCATTCTTTGTATTCATACAGAAGAGCACAGAAGGATGATCATGGGTCACAGACGGTACCTACACCTCTCCAGGGCAGCCCATTTCGATCCATTAACCTCCCAGAACCTGTGCTGATCAATGAAGATTTTACAAGTCTTTTACACAATGTGACTTATGAAAAAGGTAGGAAATAGAGCAGGCAAATTCAGTGCCTTCGGCCAGGGGAAAAAATTCAGAGAAAGGTCACTAGGGTAAGAGGACACTGAGTTTTCCTCAGGTGCGAGCAGCACATAAAGAAAACAGGGGTGCTTCTCTGCAGGACTGCTCCTGGGTCTGTGCACACACCTTAGCAGTGTGTTATGATAGCAACCTTGGTGCTGGCCCAGATTCACAAGATGCTGCTCTGTGAACACTGTCCCAAAATATTCCTTGCTTGCCTCCTCCAAGAAAATGGAAGCAGTCTGGACCTTCCTTGTAATGCTAGTGGCATGGACACTGAGCCAAGTAGGAGCCCCTGATAAAAATCCTACAATCCATGGATTTGTTTCCATGTAAGGGAGCAGAGCACAGAAAGGAGGATCACAGAGACTGGGCTGACATTTAAAGTCAGCAAAGGCAGAGATTGGATGAAAATCATGTGTGGTTTTCTGCTCTGTTCTGCTCAGAATCTGGCCAGTCATGGCCCCCCTCTGCCCTACTCTGAGGTCCTATGTTAGCCCTCTCCCTGATATCCCTCTTGCACATCCACATCTTGCACATCTCTCACCCACTTCTCCCACTGCCTGCTTCTTTCCAGTCATCTCACCCCTCCACTCTTCAGTAAGCTCCTTTCCACCCAAAATGGCAGCTGTGCCTCTGTGTCAGGCCTCCATCCTCTCGTTCTGCCTGCTAGGTGCCTCTACCCAACACGTATCTACGGAGCAAGGATGAGCAAAGACTGCTCATGCTCCTCTGCAGTCATATAGCACCAAGCACAACAGGGACCCTACATTAGCCTGCCTGCAGGTGCTACTGAAACAAAGACCACAACAAGAGCCACAACGGTAAAGATCCTCCTTAGCAAAGCATCTAACAGGGGGGTTTGAATAGCAAAAATGTGAAAGACTGGAGGATCTAACCCTAGTGGCTAGGCTTGGGAGGAGGAAGCCTGCTCTACAGTTGCCTTCTCCTGTAAAGTTTCTCTTCATTCTTCAACAGTGTCTGACACCAGGATCATGCCAATGGGAGAAGGAAGCGTGAAAGTCGTAGGAGGCCCAGGTAGGAAAACCTCGAACTGTCAAACCCCAGTAGGGCAATGATTCAGCGAGGGTGCTTGCTTCACTGCACAGAAGAAATGCTTTCAGGGAATGCATTTCAGAGGAATGTCTTTCACTTTGCCATGTGCCTTCATTTTCATGCTTGCAGTTGAAAAGGAGAGCAAACCTGAGTCCTGAAGTGCCAAATACTTGACAGAAGACACAAATGATTGCTATTTGGCAGGAAAAGCCTTTCTGCTGCTTATTTCGCATGTTCTAAGTGCTTTTGCAGAAAGGAAGAATTGAGGCTTATCAATGTGGCAAAGAATAACAAGTGTGCCATTTTGTCACTTGGGAAGAGATGATTTCTGCAGTGACTACATACCCGGTAGAACTGGTGAGGTGTTTGTTCACACACCAGTTTCCAGATTCCTTTTAGGCATCTGAATGGTAACAGAGGAGTTTTTCTGGCAAAAATAAGAATTGTTCAGAACTAAGAGAAGGGTGTAGTAAGGGGACACTAAGGATCCTGGCCAGCAAAAGGACATATGAGAACAACCATTGCGGGTTTGCACTATTCACCAGAAGCATTCAGTGTTCTGGATGGCTCTTTTGCTGGAATCCACTTGAAAATAAAGAGAACAATGGTTTATTGCAACCCAAATTAAAAGCATTTGCACTAAAGCAATTCCAGCTCTAATGCACCTGCACCCCCCCCCCCCACTTTCTCTGTGATTTAATAGCCTCAGATTGAGTCCGAGTCCTGCTGCTGCTGTATAATCACATCACACTAAAAAAATGTTAAGAGCCATGCCAGTTTACATCACTAAGAATGGCATTTAAATCCAAATTATAATAATACTTCCTATTTCTACAATACCTGCCATATTATCAAGTCCTGAAGTATCCCAAAACCCTGAAGTGCAACCATACTTGGAATATATGCTTTTTTTTTCTAAACACATCTGATTTTGTACCTTATTTGGCCTGAAAATAAATGCTGGAAGAGTGCAAACCTTGTTCTGCCAAAGTGCTTGCCAACTGCACTTCTGTTTGTAAATTAACAATAGAGTGCTATAGCCCCTGTGAAGCACAGAGGATGCTTCTAACTCTCCTTCCAGTACTTCACATGGCTGATAATGCAGCTTAGCTGCTTGCCGTAGCATAACCTGTTAGCTGAGATGTCAAGATCCATTTAGTTGCTTGTCATGGCAGGAGCACCCATAGAGACAGATGACAGCCTGAAGCCATCTTTGACAACAGAGGGGCAGCCGAAAGTGCATCTGCCATCAACAGTGTGGAAGCAGCCCAAGGACACCAAGGACTGGGGAGATGAATACATTTCAAAAGAGCAACCAGAGAGAGGGAAAGACATGGGCCAAAGCAGATACAGCTCAGCTGACAACATTATATGTGAACCCTCTTTGGCTGGTAAGGACAGAGTGGAAAACTCGGGATAGAGAGGCTCAAATTCACATCTGGTGTGAGCTGGTCAGTAATCAGCTTGTACAGAGGGAGACACACAAGCCAGTTTCTCCTGCTAGGGGGGAATTTCTCAGGGCCTCAGTCTCTAAGACTTCTGGCCTTTGTATTTACTGGTCTGTGCTGTTGACAGAATTGCTCTGCACTCAGGACATCCATTCTTCTTTTCAGGACTTGGCAGGTTTGGAGTAGTGATAGGATTGTGACAGTGCAGTTGCTGAAGTGGGTGAAAAATACAACTTCTCATTGTGCAGGAAACTGGATGTGAATCCCCAGTATGATTTGCTTTACCTTTGATTGCTTGTTTTGTTTTCCTTCAAAAAATTGGTATTCACAGGGGAAAACACATTTGCTTTGGAGCTTTCTTAGCAAACCGTGCCTCCAAGTCACGTCTGGGGCATGCTGTAGCATCAGGCTAGAATTTTGTATTTTGGGGAAAATAAACACACAAAGACAAGACATTGGTATCGCTTTTTCTACTTTCATGATTTAATGTCAGATCACAGGTCTAACATGAGGCTGTCCTTGAGGTCAGCATTTCCTTATTATTAAACTTAACTATTATCTTCTGGAAGCCAAAAGGCAGAACATCGCTTTGGAGCTGCTGGAGTCAGAAAGGAAATATGTCATCAACCTTTCCCTAATCCTGAAGATCAAGGCCACGTTGCAAGGGCCAGATGTGAAAAGGAGCACCAAAGAGAGAAGGTATTTGATTTAGTGTGCTCTCTCTTTTGAGTATTTTTTTCAGTGAACATTCTTTCTGCATCATACTCTCTCCCACTTTTCTTTCATCTTTGAACACTTAGAGCTTATTTCTACTTGAAAACTGCAGGTACTGGAAGTTTTTACTGTGATTAGACTTTTCTGTCCATCCTTGCATTCTGTCTACCTCGCATCTCAAATCATTTCACTACTACTTCATTTCAGTCTCCTTCAGAGTCCCATCAGCCTCCTATACTTTCACATGCCTCCCACATCCAAAGAGTCATTTGACAGAAGTCCACTGTGGGACGTGTTTTACATGGGTTGATGTAGGCTTGTTTAAGCAGTTAGGTGACACATACACTTCAAACTGAAACATGATAGTCTGAAGTGAGTTTTTGTTTTCACTCTTTTTCCCTGGAACATTTCCATCTGGCAAAATATTTTGATATTTGACATTTTCATTCTGATTCTCAATGAAATCAGCATGAAATGACAGCAAGGCAGTAGCTCTACATCAAAGGGTTGGCTTTGACAGGCCTGACAAATGAAACAACATGCAAAGCTGTGGAGCTCTCCTCCTAGCACTGTATGGGATGGCTCAGGACCATGTTCCAGCTGCCACAGCAGCATGGCCTTGGACTTTTTAGTTCTACAAATTCTGGTCACCTACACAATGCACTAGAGAGTCAGCCTAAGAAACCTTCAAAACACTGTAATAACAGCCCACTGGAGAGGGTACCTGCATGTATGTAGCAGCCAAAACAGGGCTTCCTGATGCAGCTGGGACTCCAACAAAAGCAGTTAAAAATACCTGTGTTTGAAGCACCCATGAATGCACACTTCAGCAGTACACGCTTAGGGCTGAGCTGCTGCTCTGTGTAACCAGTCTGATACAGTCTCCCTTCAGTTTCTTCCCCAACTCTTTGCGGTACCTGGTCCAGCAGCATGTCGACCTACTTCACGCTCTGCAGGAGCGAGTCCTGAGCTGGCCACGACAAGGAATTCTAGGAGACATCTTCCTGAAATTAACAAATGACGAGGTATGTTACAGACCTCTATGGAGTCTTCTGCTATGTATCACGGTGGGGTGCTGATGGCCCAAGATACCTTGCAGCAGGGGGGCTGTGCTGTGAAGCCATGGCTAGACTAAGACCTTTCAGCCTCCTTTGAGCATAGTCCCAGTGCATGGCAGTCCCTCTGTTGGACCACTTAGTTGGTCAGGGAGTCCCCATGCCAGATCCACCTGTGGGCATGCAGCCACCTAGAACAGCCCTATAATAATTGCAGAAGACCTAGACTTGGTTGCAAGAGCTACATAGGAGCCTGTACAGCTCAGATGTCTCTATTTACAATAACAGGGTGAAAAGAGTGTGTTTCTTTTGCTTCCCTTGCTTAATACTTTGCTCACAGTTATGACAAGTGGGTGGGCAGGCCGCTTATCCTATATAGTTTCTAGCCCAAGTAAAAAAGTACCTGCTTCTCAGGGTGAAGGTCTATGCAAGCCCTAGCAAGTAGTGGGACCTCTCCTGGAAGGGTGTGTAAAAACTTATCTGATGCTTTATAAATGTTAAGAGTCTTAAGGAAAGCTTCTTGCTCCCCAGTCTCTGTACCTCTCCCATCTCCTATAAATCTTTACAAACTATGCTCAACAGCTGAGTTAGTTTTATTACACAGCCTTTCTTGAGAAAGCCCCTAGCTCTGAAAGCTTCACACAGTTAGCGTGATGAGCTCCCAGGAGTAATAGTGAAGGACCAACAGTTCCACGCTCTGCCTGGCTCCATGACCAAAAAGGTCTCTTAGCTTTCCTTGTTCTTTTCTTTTTTCTTTCTGTAAGAATAACTTCTTGGACTACTACGTTGCTTACCTGAGGGACCTGCCAGAATGCATCTCTCTGATCCATGTGGTGATCCTGAAGGAGGTAAACTTCCTGACTGCTTCACAGACACATAATGGCAACATGCAAGCCTGGATCTCTTCATGTTATGCCACCCACAAAACAGCTCTTCTGCCAATCCACTTGTTCTGTTACTAAATGACAGTTTCCTCAAGGTTGCCATGCACCTACAATGGGAAGTTTTAACGTGCTCATTACTGTGCGTAACCAAAGATGGTTTTGCTGTCACATGACATGTCACAAATCAAACCTCCCAGAAAGCCTGTCTGTACACACGCTACGCTACCCCAGTCACTGTCTCCTGGAAAATGGAGGACTCATCCAAACAGGGAGACCAAGAGTGAGGCTGTTAAGTGCCTTAGAGACAAAACAGCCTCTGCTGTTCAGATTCAGTATCTGGTCTCACACCCTTGATTCTTAGTTAAAATCAGGAAAGTTAAATATAAAGGTAGTTTTAAAGTACGATAACTAAACCACACTAAGCTGCTTCAAAGACATCCTAATTTAGAAGTCAATCAATTCAATTTTGTTCAATTTATCTGAACCTAAACTTAAGAAATTAATTCTGAACAAGAGTGTCTACCTGGAGTTCCAATGAAACTTCACTAGTGGACATTAAACATACACCCCTACTTAATTATGCTGGGGATTATCTGTGAGGAACACTCAACCTAAGGGATTTCATTCTTAGGACTAGTATTGCTGGTGGAAGGAGCTGCAAACATCCTTCCAGAAACAAGATGTATTATCACACACAACTGCCACTTGATTGGTGTGCTCCTGTGAACCGTTATAATTACTTACAGCACAACTACTCACTAAACCCCAGAACCATTTAGAAGCAGACATGTTTTATGGGTGGGAGAGACTCTAAAGTTGCTTTCTCTTTTTCAGGTAGAAGAAGAAATCAAGTCTGATCTCTACATTCTGTTCTTCCATATAGTCCAGCGAATCCCTGAATACCTTATTCATCTACAGGTAGGGCCCCAGGATGGAAACTGTCTTGTTGAACTTTTACTACTACGTGTGACTTTTAACTCAAGAGTTGGTATTCAGGCTGGTACAGGCTCAGTGCTTCTGGCTAACCCAGTAGGCTCTCTGAAAACAAAAAACTTTTGAAAGGGAAAGTCAACTGAAAGTGGCTTAATTTTCATTATTCTCACCTGAAGCTTGCTTCTATTTGACAATTTCTCCATTTGGCCTGACAGAACCAACTTTTGTCCCCTGGGAAGTCAAAAGCTCTGTTGCCTGCTGCTCTTGAAAAGCAGGAGCCCAGAGATGGGGCACACATACTGTGAGCTCTGACCTAACTCCTGTAACAGATCTGGCTTCTTTGCTGAGTGGTCCACAGGCCTGTTAGCTGAGAGACTAAGAAGGCTAGAGGCTCCTCAGATCCAACAATCTTTCCTACAAAGAGCTTGCTCATAAAAAGAGTTCTGGTTCACAGGAGGATTATCTGAATTGCACTAACACATTTCAGACAAAGCAAGCCCTATAAAAACAGAGATCAGTTTATTCATCCATTGCTAAACTCAACCAGTGCATCACCCACACATCCCATGATAACATTTACAGTGGTTACGTGTGTATACCAGGAGGCAGGCCCCATCCAAGTCCCTCAGAAACTGGCACAGCCTAGAAAAGGTCCCACCATGCTCCCACAGAGCAGTGCCATGGGCACTCCAGAGCACTAATCCGTGGTCCCAGTAGCACCTTCTCCCCAGAAAGGGTTCAGAGACACCTTCCAAACAGCCTGCTCTCCTCTATGCCCAGAATGTCCTGAAATTCACGGACCAAGAGCATCCTGACTATTACCTGCTGCTGGTGTGTGTGCAGCGCCTCCGGGTTTTCATCTCACACTATAGTCTCCTCTTCCAATGCAATGAAGACCTCCTTATACAGAAGAGGAAAAAGCTGAAGAAGTAAGCACAACATCAGCTCATTCTCTCTATCACCAGGGAAAGGGAGGTGTCGGGGAAGCCTGACATGGAAGGGGGGAAGTGAGCAAGTGGCTGCATGGTTCTGAGTTACTGGCTGGGCTTAAACCATGACAGATAGAAATGACCCTGAATGCAGATTCTCAAGCTCTGGTTTGGAAGAGTTCCTTGAAATCAAGACTTTGGACTAAAATCAAAATCTGTTTGCTTTTGCTCCTTGTGATGATTCACTGGGGAATTAGATCAAGACTAAACTTCAAGAGAAGCTGCTGAATATGGAGGGTGATAAAGGGGTGGAGCAGACTGCTGGGGAGGGACTGCTGTCAGGAGAGGCATTAAGCACAGGACAGAGAGCAGGATGCCCTGCTGAGTGGGACAGACTAGGTGGAACAGGTTCTTCCCCTGGGTGGGAAGAGGTGAACGGGAATATTAAGGTCCCTCCCAGCCCTGTTTTCTGTGATTCTACATGCTCGTGCTCATTCCCTGCCTTATTTCTTAGCACGACGATGGATTTCTCCTCCTCAGGTCATCCCTGGTGAAGCTGTACAAAGGTCTTACCTCCCAGTGTACGAGCCAAGAGGTTTCTCCAACACCCAGTGCGACATCTATCCGGGACAGTGGGATCCACTCAGAAGAGACAATACAGTCATTCCCACCAGCACCTTCCTCTGGCACCACAACCCCGTAAGCCTATTGTCCTAGTAGAAGGCTTTCAAAGTAGGCTGAAACCTCTCTCCTTGCCCATACTACGCCCGTGACACTAAGCAGTTACAGACTGTCATTTCCAAGATTGCTCCCTGTGGATGCACAGAGAGATGAAGGGCTGTTTCCCTCCTGCTGTCCACTACCATGTGGCTTATAAGCAGGAAACGTTTCAGAAACAACCCAGGGCTGTCATCAGTGTTCTTGCTAGCTGTCTTAACAGTGTAACCAGGGAGGACATGTATTTGTGTAGGCCTGGCAGTGATGTGCATAGTAACACTGCATTATTCACTGCCAGCATTACAAGAATTGGGAAACATGACCAAAGTCTCAGACTAGCAAAAAAAACCCCACTTTTGCACATAGCACATCACTGAATGATGTGACTCACCATCACAAGACGCAAGTACAAATGGGCTCAAAAAGACAGAAGACTAATTCAAGACAGGACTACTGGTAGCACCCAGCAATCTTTGGCCGTTTCTAGCCTACTGATATGAGATGATGATCAGAGAAGCACAGTAGATTTGCCTTGTTTTTTTTTTTAGTGTCAGCAGTTTGTGGCTGTTGCACTTCCTTACATTATCTGACACTAACAAGAAGTTTGGCTTCATGATTCTGAGTCCCCCAAGTGGCAGTGTTATTAGATCAACCCCTAGCCTCCTTCTCACTATACTACCCAGGCCAATCTACAGTAAGAGAATGGAAGTAAAAATCCAAAATGCTGATAAACAGGAGGGGGATGGAGCAGTTGGATTCTCATCTCAGTTTCTATTCATTTCATGGTGTGCAGTACACAAATCAGCTAAAGCTACTGGATAAGCAGTTCTACCCCTGCAAGTTTGCTCCTGCTAACCCAACCAGGCAATTTCTGTTAATGGCAACTCTGTTACTGCTCTCCAAGATATGAAAATTCCTCTTAGCCTTAAAAGCAGGAGGATGGGGGGGGGGGGGGGAAGAGAGAGGCTTGTCATGCTGTCTCTCAGTCACCCTTTAGCATTCCACCCCTTCTGTTTTGTTTCTTGTTTTTAAGGCATTTGATGCCCCAGATGAAGAAACCCCAGCCAACTGTGATGGAGAACATCCAGGCTGTAAAGTCCCCTGACTGGGAAATGGAAAGTAGAAAACATGAGAGGCCAGAGAACATCCTTGCATCCTCCCAGCTCACAGAGCAGGAACTCAAGGCTTTGACAGCCCCTTTACAATCCATCCCTGAAATGGAGTATGAGGCACCGCCAGCTGATGCGGTGGGAAACACCGACAGAGCCATCAGGACCTCTGTGGAGCTGCTGCAGGATGCGAGAAACTTTGCACCAAGCTATGAAGAGTTTGACTACCCCGGGGAGGTTTTCACCCTGCCAGGACCCTATGAAGATGATGCCTTCCAAAACATCGCTCTCTTTGAGAATTGCTCCCCAGCCTCTTCCGAGTCCAGCTTAGACATTTGCTTCCTTAGGCCTGTTAACTTCACATCAGAACCAGAGAGGACAGATCATGCCTTACAGCCATTGCCTAAGAGCTGCACTCCTGTAAGCAGCAGTACTTACAAGCGTGAGATGTTCCACAGCAAAGGCAAGCAGCTGAGCAGGTCTCTGAAGGAGCTGCCAAGGAGCGCTGAGGGTGTGAGCACCAGGCTCTACAGCACACGGAGCAGCAGCGGGAGCCGGCTGCAGCAGAAGCAGGAGAGGAATGTCCAGCCTCACATGATCTCAGCCTCATCTCGAAGCTCCCAAAGGAGCTACTTCCCCCCACAGAGAGGAGCGGGTGAAAAACAGAGCTTTTTGGAAGTAAGGAGGCATAAATAGCAGGAGGAAAAAAGAAAGGCACGTGGTGATGCAGAAGCAGCAGCGGGAGAAAGATCTGAGATGCAGTTAGGGCAGAACATTCCAAAATAGCTTCCCAGTCCACATATTCAAAGTGCTCATCTGCATGTACATGCCCAAGGGAGGTACAAGAGCTCCTTTTCACACATCTTCCCCAGGGACAGGTGTGGGCTTGAGGCACACAGCTGGCTGAGTGACAGTTAGAACAACCTTGGGACAAGCTAGCCTCTCATGTGTCTCTAGCTGTCACTGAGCTTCCCCCACAAGGAAATCCTGTGTCTGATCAGGGTCACTATGTACGTGCAAAGCTGTTTGACATTAGAGCTATAGGGGGGCACCCAGTTATAAAGGTGCCTATTTTCTGTGAGGAGTGCTGGGTTAAGAAAAGCAGTGGATTTAGTATCAGATCCTCAGCCAGTGTAAACCAGCATGACTTGGACAAACTCAGCCTTTATACCAGAAAGGATCTGGTCCATGGGTTTCGTTTCACCTGTGTCTGTTGCATGGATCATAGACCCTTGCTAAAACCTGTGTGAAAACAGAAAGACCCCAGCGATAGTGTCTCTTAGATGGGACATGGTAGGTGGCACTCTTGCCCTCCAGGGACACAACATCTTGCAGAAAATGTTTCTGTAGCCTGCAGTGCCTGTTCAGAGTCAGCTTTGAGCTGTCACAGTTGGGGGGAAGATGCCTTTCACACTTCCTGTGGAAGAGGCTTAGGGTGCTGTGAGGTGCTTTGCTGGTTCTCCGTGTTGTGTAGAGAAACAGCCTTCTGTTAAAATGAGGCAAGGCGCGGGTGAGGCTGTAGATGCAGGTGATGATGAGAGGATGGTTCCAACAGCCTGACTGAGAAGACAGCAAAGAAACATTGAAAGAAAAAAGCCTACTGAATGAAACAGGTGGTGGATGGCTGAGCAAGGGAGATGAGTTAGAAGGATAAATCCCATGGGGATACAGCCCGTGTCCCCCCATCCATTCCCCTGTCCATGTCCATTCTTTCCCTAAAGAAGGAGCCTGTGAGCTCTGTGGCATTCACCTGCACAGTGCTATGGCCCACAGCAGGGCGCAGATGTGGAGCTAATCCAGAACTGTAGGACATGTTCTCCCCACAGAGCAAAGGAGATCACCATGGCAGTGGTAGGCAGAACTGGAGAAAAGGGACCTGTCCAGAGCCTTGCTGAGAGGGACTCAGCAAGGGGGAGAGATCTTTTAGTGGCACATTCACCGCAAGGTGTGTGTGCTAATGAAGCCTTCTGCCCCACAGATATATAACCAGGCAGCAGCAGAGCAAACAGAAGTCTTTCACAACATAGCAGCTCAAGAAGCCTGAAGCCTCCCTGCCCTAGGGTAAACAGCAAGGAAAGGGCGGGAAGTTCCTTCAACTGCCCATGCTGCCTTGTTCCCTTGTTGGCAAAAGGGGCTAGTAAGCTCCCCGTAAACAGAAAACTTAGGAAGGCAGGCTACAGTTCCCTCTAACAATGCTTATCTTTCCAGTCCTCTGCCGCAGCCTCAGGGCCAGCAACAAGCTCTCTGCAAAGGTATCAGTGTTGCCAGAGGCTACCAGTGCTGCCAGAGGCCTGAGTGACCTGTTATCTCCCAGCCTTGCCAGCACCTCCTCACCCACCAGGTCCCTCCTAGCACAGAGAGAAAGAGAGAAGGGGACAAAGATGTGAGGTTGCAAATGCTGGTTAAATTGTCTTTTCCCTTTTAGGAGCTCCATGCAGAAGACAACACCAGGTTCTGCCAGAAGGATGACAATGAGCAAACATCCTTCAGCGACCACAACCCACGGCACGAGCCCAAGGGGGGTTTCCGGAGCTCCTTCCGCAAGCTCTTCAAAAAGAAATAAGCAGCCCCAGGAAAGGCAGGCCACAGCCTAAGTGCAACAGTGCTTCCCCAGGTCCCCGAGGGTGGAGGCAGACAGCAAGGCCCCAAGTACCCCTTTGCTAACACAGTAGGTGGAGGGGTGGGGGAGAGAAGACTGTCACAATTGCCTTACAAATGCATCCCTGCTCTTAGCACAGGGCAGGGCCAGGCTATGGGTTGAAGTGTAGCTCAGCCAGCAGGTCCAGTAAGCACAGGAACTTGCTAGCCTTCACCCCTGCCTGACTGAACTTTCCTCAGAAAGTTTTGGAAAGCTTTGGCCAAATCCCTGTATCTTCTCCTCCCCCTCATCCCCCAACGCTGCTTGATTTGCCATCCATCGTCTCTTCCAAATTCAAGCCAGGTCTAATTTGGGCTCACCCCACAATAGCAGGGTTACCTCTGCAGCCTTGGCATCCTGCCCAGAAGCCTGAAATCCCTCCTTTTCTCCACTTTCATTCCCCCCCCCCCCCCAAAAAAAAAAACAACCAACAACCAACCCACCCCAACCAACCACCCAACCCACCACTAAAGATGTCTTCCAGGATGGCAGCTCACATTACCCTGCTGTTTGAGAAGGTCTAAGCGGAAGCACCTTGGCTTTGTACTGCTTAACCAGCAGCATCCTTTCTTTCGGACTTTTATTACTCCCCAAAATCCTCCTTCACCTTTTATGGTGTTACTTAATTGCCTCCTGCTGTATGAACCTCTGCTCCTGCTGTCGGAATCGCCTCTGTCTCCAGGCAGGTGATGCAGGCTGAGCCCAGGGTCTGCCACAAGAGATGAAGACTCTTCTCCACCCTACCCCCACTGTGGATTGATGCAGATACTGACAGTCAACCAGTATCCTGGCTCCTGGTCTGTAATACACCTGAAATACTCCTTTGCTAACTCTCTTTGGCCTGACATCACCTTACAAGACCCATCACGTGCAGCACCCTGCTTTGGAGCAATACTTCTAACTAAAACTGAGGCATGAGGGCAAGGAAATCAAAGGTGCCCCACGTGCAAAGTCACAAGCTCTTCTTCCTGTGCAAAGATCATCTTCCTCCCACAAGGCCAAATGCCACCCTCATCACATCTCAACATGGCAAACCCTCAGCGCCATGCTCTGCAGAAGACTATAGCTTTTGTTAAAAACAAAGTATGAAGACAAATACAGCCATCTGGTACGATATCCATGTCACACCCCAGCAGCAAGAGCACCACTGGCACAGGACTGTGGCGTTAGCTGAAGCTGGGGCATGCTAAGGGCAGTCTCAAGAGGAAACGTGGTTTCATCACCTTATCTTGGCAGGGTAGGGGCACTAGTCATATCAAACAGCTTCACCTGAAGAGGTTGTGAACTGTCTCTGCAGGGCCAAGAGCAATGTCTCAGGGGAAATATGCAAGACTGAGATTAGGGGCTTGGGACTTCAACAGCAGTGCAAGGGTGACTGAATATGGTGACAAGGGAAGAGCACCCATCGTGCTGCATGGCTCTCCTGGCAGTGGGAGTGCTACGGGGATGTCCTTGGCTACAGTGGCTAACACCCACTGCAGATGCAGGGCCTACAGCTTTCCCGCAGTGTTGACTGATGTGCAACTATTACCTGCTTTTCCCCCTCTGGTGGAGGTGAAGAAGTGTGTGTGAAAAGGGTTATCCCACCTAAACCAGACAAACCCCATGCTTTCTCCCAACGTTCCAAGGAAGTGACCAAGAAAACCTCAGAAATTAAAATGTTTTAGCTGACACCTGCCCCATAGAATTTACTGGACCCAAAATGGTTTCCAAAAATCCACTTCTTACAAAGAAGAAAAAAGTATCACACAGCCCCCTCCCCCCAGCTTTTGCAAACTATTCTGGGAGGTTTTGTTTTTTTTTTTTTAATTTAAGGTTTTTAATGACAAAAACCAACTTTTAAGTCTTTCTCTCTTCCTCACATCCTCACTGAGTAACAAATTCCCTAGGCCTTTCCAGTCAGGACCACTCCACACTGACCAGCCACATCACAAAGACACTCCCTAGGACTTTGCAGCTTTCACTCACAGTGCAGGGCCGGAACAGAAATATGCAAGAAGAGGCAGATACTTGTAACCGAAGCATCAGCAAAGCCTGTTTGTCTGCAAAAGAACAGGCCTTAGACAAACGTTATTTCTTTGTCCATGGAACCAGAGTTAATATGGAAGAGTTTCCACTGTAATGCATCGACGCAGTCAAGGGCTCTGATCCCTGTGTCTCTGGTCTCGTATATAACGACACTTATTCATAGAATAAATTTGCTCCTTACACTTGTCAGGCAGATGCCAAAACAGAAAGAGGGCAAAGGGGGAAACCTACCTGCTAACATGTCCTGGGTGAGGAAATCCTTCCAAAGTGGCAGACCTTTGCTTATAAAATGCCGTGGATTTTAGCTTCTGTTTTAGTGATTTAAGGCATGGTCAGAATTGATGGTTCTTTCTTTCTGATCCTGTATGAGTTCTTACTTCCAGGCCTATACTTACCATTTGAGATGTCCTTGTACCTGCTCAGAATCTGCAAATGTAAATAAAATGAATGAATGATGCTTAGCACCACATAAAAATACACCTCTTGCAGGATCTGATTCAACTCCACCTTTAGTGTATGTGCGTGCTCTGGATTATTTTTCTTCCTGTGCCAAATAAATGTTGCTTTTAAATAACACTATTGTCTCTTTTGCACTGAATCAGCCATAAGGTTTCATCCATCCAAAGAAGAAACACGTTTCTCAGGTCCCTTTCTGAGGCAACATTACTTACAAAATCCTGTTCCCCTGCACACAGTCATGTCAGAAGACTGTTTCCATACACTTGGTTCCAAGACTCTTACCCAGCACTCAGCTGATTCACTCCCTAGGCTTCTCATCAAGGTCATGTTGTTGAAGCTCCCTGTTGTACTTCTTCAGCTCCTTCCTCCACCTCCTTTACTCCTTCTGCTGCTTCTGTTACAGACACGAGCTTTCACAACAAAAGCCCATGAGCACACACCACTGTAACTTCAACTATCCAGCTCTCTAAGGGATCTTAATATCTTCCAGTGTATCACAAGCATCTGTCACATACCAAGTTCTTACAAAAATTTAATTCCAGTTCTTACCATCAACACTATCTTACCTTTGCCACATTCTCAGCAGGTTCAAAGCAATGACACCACAAACAGGGACAACTCAGCTCATAGTGCTCACACCTCCCCGTGCCACGCAGCACCTGCAAGCGTGTTAGCATTCCTCCTAGTGCTCCATAGCTCCCTGCAGCATTGTGTCACTTGAGGACAGCGGTCTGTTTTTCCTGTTTGCAGTTGAGTCAACACCATGATCTGTGCACTGTGACCGACCTATTCTGGTGGGCTCCAAAGCACATTCAAGTTACGTTCTTCAATGTGACCATTATCACCAGTTGTATCACACCAATAACGCACTTTTATTCTCAACCACAAAGATGTGAAACATCATTCCCCATTTCACAAAGGGAAATGGAGACTTGCTGACATCCATGAAATCTGATTAGCAGGATCCATGTGAGGCCTCTCCTCTTAGCTGAGCAACCTAACCACTGGATCACTCCTTCTGCCTGCTCTGCCTCAGCTCCAAGCACAGACGAAGAGTATGCAGAAGACAGTTCAAAAAGTCTAAATTTAACGAGTTTTCCCTGGTAATACACTGATGAGCTAATAACTTGGGTAATGTTGCCAACAGTTTGCCCATCATGGTGTTTATATCCAAAGAACAATAACCTGAACTATGGCTCCCTGTAGCTTGAGGGTTTTTACAAAGCTCCCATATGATGCTTTCCTCTGAAGCCAAAATTTAAAGATCTTCGTTTGTTCTTCTTTTTGCCAGGAAAATGTTTCAAAACTACGTTGTTAGAGACATCAAAGAAGGAATACAACTGACATTGTTAAATTTCAACATTTAAAATTGCCATTCTTGTTGAAATCAGAACACCTGAAATTTAATGACCACACTAAAGGATCAAGGGGCACTGCAGAAAGCATTAACAAAGGTGATTTCCATCATTGTTCAACTAACACCATCTCTAGCGATACAGCTTTCTAGGATGCTGAAATGTATTCTTCTTCCAAAGAGGAAATGTGATAGAATTTTACTTTGGCCCATGAGCCGTATTAACTGAAGACGAGACACTTTACACTTCACATACATACTGTAGTGGAGATTATAGAGCTTCTTTTCTTCAATAACTGCCATGCATTACTGTCACAGTATTTTCTAGAGTTGAAGAGCAGTACACAGGTTTATGGATAATCCATGTCATGATATTTATACCAGTACATGTTCCGTCATGTATATTTTGGACACAGAAACCTTCTGTAAAGATTAATATACGTTCAAATTTTTCTAACAGGTGTCATACAGGAAGTGTGGGAAGCTTTATAACGTATAATAATTCACTTTGGGAGTAACCCAGCTTCTCAAATATTACTGAATTATTACTCTGTAACACATGCCAGAACTCACTTCTCTTTAGAGTCTGATTACTAAAATACATACACTGAACTACACAACATGTGCTTTTGTCCCTTTCACTGCTGAACTGAAAACCTGATTTGCTCGTTTGCCTGTGTAATAATTTAAAGTATGTCAGCTGAACATATCTGTATCTTTATTTCAATTAAATTAAAAACAATTTGCAAGTATATTTATGCAACGTTCACTATATACACATGATTTATGCAACTGCAAGGCAATCCTATGTATGCTGATTAATCTATTGTTAGTAAAACATGACAATAGCTATGGAAGTTGACAAGTGAGTGCTCCTTTTCACAAGTGACTGTTTTCATGGCGTGACTGAAAAAGAGCAGCTACTAGCCATGAAATGGATTATCAGTAAACCTTAAAAAGAACGTGACATAACCTAGCAGAGATTAACAGTCTTCTAAATGTAGTAGTATATTTACTTCGGATGATAGTGCTGCTTCTTAAAAGAAAACTTGCTGTCATCTTAATGATGTAAGACTTTCATCTGCTCTATCTAAAGAAAGCAATAATTAGACATTATGCTTCCTGGCAAAAATTTATTTTTGAACTGGCACCATAGTATTTCAGAAAATAATAATAAAGTACCTCTTTGGTGAAGCCTAGGTACCCCCTACTGCTCATTGTAACAACTTGTAAACAGGACCGCAATACAGTGCTTCGCCTTAATTCTAGCTCGGTTAGGTACCACAGATCTTCCTCACAGTCCTTCTCATAATTTTAGGAAGGTATTTTAAAGCAGGGAGTAAAGCAAAGGAAGATTAAGAAGGATATAAAGTTCCCTGTTTGAGATTTAAAAAAAGTGCATAATGTTTTAATTCCAAAAACTGTGCCACTGTATGGAACTGATGGATACAAGACTGTTTTCCTTCCTGTACTGGACATTATTGATCATTACACAAACACAGTCTCTGCTCATTGGCCAAAGAAGTCTCTCAAGTCTGTTTTCTGGTACAATCAGTTGTCCAATTACTTTAGAA